CTTCAAAAAAAAAAGAAAAAAAAAAGGGTGTTTCCCGCGTTTACACTGAAAACGTTCAAAACGACAAAAAAGTCGTTTTGTGTTTTCTTCACAATTTTTTTTTTCGTTTTCAAAAATTCGTTTTCTAAAACGGGAAAGAGAACACGTTTTCACCGCTTTGAAAAATCAAAAATAGAAAATGGTCCGAAAACGGTAAAGAGAACAGGGCCTTAATTTTTCAAAGTTTAGTGAAGATTCATGATGGGATTGTTGAGATACCTATTTGATTGATAATGGAACAATGCATACCATTCTTCCAAAAAAAAAAAAAAAACTTAATATTAGTAAAAAATAATTTTAATACGATATCAAGTACATCAAATATCGTTGAAAACTTTGAAAAAGCAAAATTATATATTGATAATGCACTTTTTTTCTAGCAAATTTCTTCTATATTTGCTTAGTTTTAAAGAACCCATTGCAATGGATATCACATTAAAATAATGCAAGAAAATAATGTTAAATATCATTATATAACTTCTTTTGTATTTGAACATAAGCTAATAAAAGAAAAACTAAATGCACTTTCATTTGATATGTATTATACTTTTATAAAAATTGTTGAATTGAATATTATCATTAACCCGAAGTTTGTTGACCCAAAAAGTTTTATGCTTTAGTATGATCACTTGGACATCCAGGAATTATAATGACGCATCAAGTAATAAACAACTCGCACATTAAAATAATGCAAGAAAATAATGTTAAATATCATTATATAACTTCTTTTGTATTTGAACATAAGCTAATAAAAGAAAAAACTAAATGCACTTTCATTTGATATGTATTATACTTTTATAAAAATTGTTAAATTGAATATTATCATTAACCCGAAGTTTGTTGACCCAAAAAGTTTTATGCTTTAGTATGATCACTTGGACATCCAGGAATTATAGTGACGCATCAAGTAATAAACAACTCACATAGATATTCTTTAAAGATTCAGAATATTTTTTTACCTAATGATTATTTATGTGTTGCTTGTTTATAAGACAAGTTAGTCATTAAAATTTCGACTACAAATATCAATATTAAATTTTCAACGTTATTGACAAGAATTCGAAGAGATATGTGTGATCCAATACACCCACCATGTAGACCATTTCATTATTTTATAGAGGCCAAGCTTCGAACTAGGCGAAATCTAGGCATAAAAACGCGTTTCTCATTTTAATATTATTTTAAAATTTAAATCAATCTAAAAATCATTTTATTTGTCTTTATGATGTAGGCTTGTTAAGGTAAAAATTTTGCTGAGCAATGTATAATATAATGAGTCAATACTTTTTTAACAAAACTCGAAGTCATAAAATAACATTAGAAGCTATTAAATTTAAACGAGTGATTCATTCTCATCCTATATTAGACTTCAAGACTTTGCCCCTAACCGAATAGTCTCATCTTGAAAATGGGATTTTGCCCATACTTCATAGAGCAACATCCTCAAATTTCATCTCTTCTTCAAAGAGTTGCATCTTCAAATGGACTTCCCCTCTTCTTAAAGAGCATAGTCCCTGAAATAGGGGACTTTTACCCTCTTCAGTAATGAAGCTATGATCCTAATCAAAGTCAATGCCTTACATAAATATTCATTATTGAACTTGGAGGACTGTTATGTCACTTTGGCTGCTATATAATATGAGCTTCACCTAAATGATGCACACACTTTGTTGAAAACAAAAATACACAACAAACACCTTGACAAAGAGCCCCTATGAGCAAGGTCCCAATGCACACATTTCAATCCATACCTTGAAAGTCCAATGCCTCATATAAATAATCAAGACCTTGGACTTAGGGACTATTGTTACACATTTGCTTGCATGAAAAGTCACATAACTGCTAGCTAAGCAAGATGCCACGAGAGCATTTTTGAGATGCTCAAATAAGAATGAGTCGCCTCGCTATATCAATTTCCAAGGCGATGATGGCTCATTCCATCGCCTCATCGAAAAATGCCTCTAAGGCGTTGGGAACATTGTCCAACGCTACAACGACAACAACCTTCGAAGCGATGTAACTCTTGCAAACAAGTCTTCTTTTATCAAGGTGATCAACAAGTACCTAGCCACGGTTGGATGGGCTTGAAGCTCGATACCTTATGATAGCTATAATTTGACATTTTGAATGTCTCTATAAGGGACTAGTGGGTGTAGAATTTCCTTTTTCTCACATAAAACTCTGTGTGTGAGCTCACATATGATGGCTAATTACTGACATTTTGGCACTTGATGTGTGAGCCGTAGGATGATGCCATATGTCGAGCATCAAAGATAGAATAAATGCAGGGATAATGAGAGGGCAAGAGCCATGGTGGAGTTAGGAAAGGGGTTGCACATGTAAAGTTTAAATTGTGACCGGATATTATATCCTTGTAAGTATGTTTATTAATTATAAGTTGAAGCTTTTGTCTCAACCCGCATTCAACTTCTTTACTTATATCTCTGACATTTCAATTTTTTATATGTATTAGTATAACCAAGTGACAGTTGCTAAAAAACCCAATGAAGAAAAGCTAATATAAATATAGGGACGATGAGAGGACGAGCTACGGAAGGAATTACATATTTAGCCTATGTTTGGCCCCCATTTTGTAGAAATGAAAATGAGTGGAATAATGTTTTTTTTGAAAAATGAGTAGTTGAAAAAGAACGAAAATTTTTCGATTTACGTGTAATATTATTTAATAAAAGATTGTGTGTTTGAAAATAGGAAATAGAAAAACAAAATATAATGAAATGAAAATTAATGACGGGACTTAAAATTTTAACTCATGACCGGATATTATATCCTTGTATTCTTTGATGGCACAGTGGGGCGTGATAACTTGACAACCTTTTCTGTACAGTTTTTTTTGTTAGAGATTAGGCATGTCAAGAATTGAAATGTGAGGGATAGCTTTATTGAAGAGACGAAAGTAGTTAACAAGAAACGTTACTTCAGTTTCCATTAACGTTTGTAAGCTAAGACAAATACGCTGAAAGCTTCGTTCGCGACTTAATAGCGTCGTCGAAGCCGGATCATCCCGTACTGCCACTTAGCCTCACCCGAAACCCGCACTTTTCTGTCTGCACCATAATTTCCGATCAATCAATTAGAAATCGCGAAAATCAAATCCCTCAAGTTTAAGCTATCAATTGATTGATAATTATTCGATTAGGAATTATCGAGAATATAAGAGGAAAAAAATGCCTCCGAAGCAGCAATCAAAAGCGGATTTGGCGAAGAAGCAGAAGGTAGTCGAGGACAAGACTTTTGGATTGAAGAACAAGAATAAGTCCAAGAATGTTCAGAAATACGTTCAATCCCTCAAACAATCCGTCCAGCCCAGGCCTGACTCTAGCAAAATCGACGCCAAGGTCGACTTAAATTCAGTGATCATGTTTTGTGGATTATATTCGACTGTTTATTGATTGATTGCCATTTTTTATGTGCGAAATTAGCAGAAGAAGAAAGAGGAGGAGAGGGCAAAAGAGAAGGAGCTCAATGAACTGTTTAAAGTTGCAGTGAGTCAACCCAAAGTTCCTCCTGGTAATTTCTCTATTTAGTTTTTCCTGTAAAATGTCTTCCCTTTAAATTAAAAAGTGGGCAGTATCATATAAGCTCACATCACATGTTCTTAGATAATCATGTATAGGAGAATGCGTGGTTGTTGCTTTCTGCCCTTATTTTTCAATTATTTTTTTCTCCGAGGGACGAGTTGGAAATACTAGATTCTAGAAATTTAGGAATGACAATTTGTTCGTGCACTGTTTTGTCTATCAGAAATGTTGGTGACTATATTTTTGAGAACCAACATTTGACGTATCCAGGTGTTGATCCGAAGTCAATATTGTGCGAGTTCTACAAAGCTGGTCAATGTGCCAAGGGTTTTAAGTGCAAGTTCTCTCACGATTTGAATGTTCAGAGGAAAGGAGAGAAGATTGATATTTATAGTGATAAGCGCGATGAAGGTTAATAATGGAAGTTCTAATTCTACCATCAAATCTCCAATTTGTTTACAACTTTTTCATATTTTTTATTTGTGTTGTGAATCTCGTCTCTTTTTCATGTTTTGTTTCATAAAGAGAATGAAAAGGAAACAATGGAGGACTGGGATCAAGAGACGTTGGAGAAGGTTGTTCAGTCCAAGAGCCAGGAGTACAACAAGAATAAGCCTACCGACATAGTAAGTCTTCAGTATTAATATCGGTACGTTTTTCAATTATTACTCAGAATGGTGATGGAAATCTGTTACTAAGTTTTTAATTAACTGGCTGGTAAAGTTAGAAATTTCTTTTGCACAAGATAGAGACGTGTAGAAGGTGCTTGTAATTTCAAGAGATGGGTAGATTCCAATTTTTAGTTTTGTTTACTTATATATTTGATGCCAAAGTGTTACAGTTTTGTTTTCCATTTTAAATGTGTGATTATGATGGTGGTGTAATACTATTCTTCCCATGGTGGGATCGTAAGTTTGGCTTTTTCCTAGCCTAATTGAGACTTCAATTGAGGAACATCATATTAGTAGATGTCCACGGAATAATCAAAGTAGTAAGATAATGAAGAATGGAATTCAGAATGTGGTTGACAGATGCTATGGATGGTACAAACATCAACGCAAAAATAGTTTGAGTTTGGGGTGTGTAAGGGCCGGCCCGAATTTACAATGCATTTGGCTTTGGAGCATCTTAATACACAATGTAGGTCACCAGTTTAATATTTTAGGAGTTTGATTATGTGTATTTAGCAGAGAGACAGCATGGATTCGATAGGAATCAGAGCATGAATAGTGACCTGATTGCCTTTCTACTGACTCGAGCAGAACTTTATACAATTATGGAGCACCCCCTATAGTAGCTATAACAATTATATGATGCTAAGGAGGAGCTTTGTTCTGCATTTCGCAAAGAAATGGAAGGATGTGAATAAGATGTAATGAGTCTAACTTTGCTTGTAAAATAGAAAGATGCTACGTGAATGAGGGTTGAATCCTTGTATACTTAATCCAGGTGGCAATCCTTGTATACTTAATCCAGGTGGCAACAATTGTATGGATTTTCCATTCTACTAATATGTTTTGCAGGTATGTAAATACTTTTTGGAAGCAGTGGAAAAAAAACAGTACGGTTGGTTTTGGGTCTGCCCAAATGGCGGTAAAGATTGCCATTACAGGCATGCACTTCCTCCTGGTTATGTTCTAAAATCTCAGATGAAGGCTCTGATAGAGGAAGAAGCTGACAAGATACCCATAGAGGAAGAGATAGAAAACCAGGTTTGTTTAGCCCAATCTCCTACAACTAGTCTATTATAACTTGGTGAGTTTGTTCAAATTAAATTATATGCTAATTGGTTTATTAACATTTATTCCTTTTTCAGCGTGCAAAGATAACTGCTTCAACTCCTATGACTCCAGAGTTATTCATGCAATGGAAGAAGAGAAAGGTGGAAGAGCGAGAAGCTGGATTGGCAGCACTGTGGGCAGAGAGAGCTAAGAATGACCGTATGAGGTACTGTTCGACTCTTCTTGAGTGAACACGTGTGGTGGAAATATTTACTTGTATGTCAGAACCTGCGTTAAGTATTCACTTTATCTTGTTTCCTGTCTTTCCCAGTGGGCGTGAGCTATTTTTGTCAGATGCTAGCTTGTTTGTTGATGATGCTGAGGCCTATGACAAATACCAAAGAGAAGAAGAACCAGATGCAGAGCAAAAGGTAACCACTTTGCTATTTGCCTCTCCGTGTTTCATTAAATATTACTTGGAGACGGAATGAACTTCTGTGGACCTTCAAATTCCGTGATTTGCAAGTATGCTAAAATTTGATTGTCTTTATTTTCTAGAAATTTTTTGGAAGTGGGGAAATGTTATTAACGAAAAATCATGTAACTCGAGTAGACCACTTCAAGTTTGAAAACATTTTGGAAAGGCCAGCCTGTTTGAAAATAACATTATACAAGACTATACGGTGTATTATACAAGTCTATACTAGTACACCCATAACCCTGGAGGTGCCTTTGCCTCGTAGGGAAAATCTATGGCAGAGCTGCAGGTTCATGTACTGGATGGCATGGCAATTGATGGCACACATAAATATGGATTGAGAATAGTGTTGATAGTAATTCCTGAAGTTCATTGGCGTCATATTTGAAGGATATTGTTTAGTTGTTGACTGCATACTAAGCATTTCATTTCTGAAGGGGACAACCTTTTTCCAAGTATATTTGGAAGAGTTGAACTAATCCTAATTCTAGCACTAGATCCCACTGTACGAATAACACAAGCTAATTATCTGTCATTGAGGAGAGAACCCTTTGCAGGTTTGCCAACTTGTTGTATGGCCTTTTTCTTTTTCTTTTTTTTGCAACAAAGCCAAGATAGGAACTGCATAGTATGTGTCGTCATTTTGCAGTATCTACAGCATGATTTAGCACTTCAGTCCATGATGCAACACCCATATAATAAGGTGGTTCTATTATCAAACTTCTGTTCTCTAGTCCATGATCAGTGACTCAATGGACTTTTGTTTCCTTATTCTTGTTACTGTCTTTGAGAGGATCCAATCTAAGACTTCACAACAAATTTCTTCCCAGTTTTGTGTTGCTCTTAGATTATGTTTCTTGAAAATAGTAACGAGAATAAGGAAATATATGTCAATCTGTATGCTGATCATGAACTAGAGAACAAAAATTTGGTAATGGAAAATCTAATTTTATGTTTCATGCATGGTCGACTGAAGCACCAATTCATGCTGTAAATTTCAGTGGAACAACGATGCGAACTGCTTTGGATTATGTCGTAGTTGATTCCTTTGCTTCTCACTAGGCAGAAAAGCACGGATGGAGTTAGAAAACCTGTAAAGAGTTCTCTCTTTGATGAAAGATCATTACCGGCTCGCACTATTCATACATTTGGGGGTAGATCTATAATCAGGATTAGTTCAATGCTTCCAAACAGACTTGGAATTATGTTGGCCTCTCTACAGTGGTGTATAATACTCAATATTTTACAAGTGGAAAACACGTGTTCAAAATTATCATTCATACGGTGCTCAATAAACTCATTTTGTTATTTCTTCCTTGGAAGTGCTCTGGAACTGACATTTTAGAGCCTTTGGTTTTTATGTAGAACTTTTATGTTCCACCTAAAATTTGGAGTGTCTGAAGTTGCTAGGATCCATCTCAAAATCTAAGTCAAAACTTTCCTTCACAGGCAAAGTTGAAGAAAATGTTATGGCTAATTACATTTGACTATTTAGATGTTACCAATCACCTTGTATAGGTGTTACCAATCACCTTTGTGACTATTTAAGCAATTACATTTTCAGGGTCAAATTATTGGATCATTTTCACGGCTCACGGTTGAGCATATTTGATGCTTAACTTTCTTGCTTATGTCTAAACTCTTACGTATCCTGCTATTCAGTAGCTACTTTGAGCCGTTTCAGTAGTATTTGCTGTATCATGAATTTTAGGTTGATAAAGGTTCCTCCATGTACGTGGCAAGTTCTTCCACTGCCACTACTCGTGATATCAATGACGTTGACGACGACGACGACGATCTCAATATGGACGAGCTAAATGAACTGGAAGCTAGCCTTTCAAAAACAACGTTACAAATCAGAGAACCAGGTGATGTGTGATGAGAGTAAAAATAGAGTACACGCTTCAATCCCATTTCTTACTCAGGAAGCTGTTTATGGATATTCTCAGCTCCGGTCAGGTTACCCTCGGAAGGGTAAGAGTAATGGCTCCTGTTGTCAACTGATGGTATTGATAGTAAATTTTTTAGTCATTGATCATTCCGATCTTTTGTAGTCGGTTCAATTTGAGCCAATTTTCGCTAGTTATTGAAGTTAAGAAGAGTCTTGGACATGATTGTTTAGCAGTCTTATGGGTATGGGTGTTTCCTTTTGTTTAAGTGGTTTGTCAACGATTTTTGAGGATATTTGCATCTATATGTCTCGGTTAACAAGATTAATAATGAATGACATAACATTACATCTAATGCGTTGACTGCTTGCTTAGCAATCGTAGATGTGATAATGGTTATGATCACGTAAATGGTGCTCAATATTATTTCGTTCATCTCTTGAAGATAGATTTTTTCATTTTTTCATTTTTTGTTTGCTTGTCCTAAATTGAAATTATAGACCGCATTTCTTCTTGAGGGTATAATTAGTTTTTTAATTTTATAATGTGATTTGTTATCATATGAATTATTTTTATTTAAATTATTAATTAATGTAGGGCTATATAAAAAAAAAATGTAAGAAAAATTAATGTTTCAAATTATATTAATTATATATTTTTTAATATGTGTGAAAAAAGAAACGAGTTTATCTTTGTGGGAGTGAATACTATTACTATGTAACATTATTTATTTTATATGCTTTTCACTTGTTTTTTTTAGGGCTGGATAGGGTCCGGTTCGGCTCGGTTCGGTTCTAACGAGAATCGAACCGACCCGAATTTTTCGGGTATTTAGTAAGTGAAACCGTCTGGTCCAAATTTAATTACGGAATCGTTCGGGTTTGGTTCCATTCGGTTCCGTATTATACTTAAATTTTTTGATATATACAAAGTTACGTTAATTTAATTAATGATATGTTCAATATTAGCTCTTACAAAATAACGTAGTTCAATCTTATATGTTTCACGTCTTTCTTTACTGAATTCTTCATAAATTTGATTATTAAAATTACAGAAAGAGAAAGATAACGAGCTCAAAATAATTAAGAGAGATGTAGAGCTTTAATTCGATTTTTTTCAGTAGAAAAGACACTACAGTAGAATAACAGATTTGGATAAAAATGAGGTCAATTTGATTAAGTTGATTTTGAACTGAAAATTAGAAATAGGAAAATCGTATTTTGTGGTTTGAACTAAATTAACTAGTTAACAAATTTATTTAGAAAAAATAAAATAATTTACTTATTTAAAATAAATTAATTAAAAAAATTACTAAAATTCGATTTTTATTCGATTTTTCGGGTCTTGGCCTAGAACCAGGAACCGAACCATACCCGTCGGTTATTGATTCAAATATCCCTTCGAGTATTTAACTTGAGAAGAATCGTCGGGTTCGGATCGGGAGTTTTGTCCAGCCCTAGTTTTTTTATAGCCGTCGTTTGATTTATTAGATTTTTATAAAATTTAGCCCCTATTTGAAGAATTAATTGTTTTAATGGTTACTAAATTTAGGCCCATGTCTTTGATTGGTTACTGAAGTTTAAAATGTTGAGTTTTGATCACCGAACTTAGGTCTATCTCTTCGATTGCTCATCGAAGTTTAAAATGTCGAATTTTGGCCACTGAACTTTGAAAAATGTCGTATGTTACGCCTTAGCATATATGTTGAACTTTAAAAAATATCGTGTGTACAGTGAGTAACGTACTACATTTTTCAAAATTCAAAGGTCAAAATTCGACATTATAAATTTTAGTAAGCAATCAAGGATATGAACCTAAGTTCAATGATCAAATTCGACATTTTAAACTTTAGCAACTAATAAAAAATATGGACCTAAGTTCAATGGCCATTGGAACAATTAACTCCTATTTGAGCTCCATTTTATATATTTTTTTTAAAATTCATTTTCACGAACGGTCTTCCAATAAAATAATTTTACTTGTAAATATAAAAGTTTTCTTCAAATTTTAATCACTTATTCTCTAAAAAAAAAAATCTCTATAACATATTTTTTCAAGAAATGTATCTTATACACACCCTTAATAGAATGTGGTTGAAAAAATATAAGTTTCATAAAAATGTAGTTAAAATTTAATGTAATTTAAATTAAATTTTTTTTTAGCTAAATCAAACAATACAATATTTTTGTCAATATTCATATTTAGGGTAATTAGCACAAGATGTTCTTATCTTTCAATATTATTGTACAAAATGTCATTGTCTTTCATTTTTTGACATTTTTATTCTTATCTTCACTTTTTATTGTAGAAATCATTATTTTAATCAAATTCTAGTTTAAAATGACAAATATATCCTATATTTAAATAAAACAATAGAAAAGAAAAGAAAAGTTAAAGAATAAATTGCAATCATACTCCTCAACCTTTTTAAAAAGTGCAAATGAGTTATAAGTGTAATTAGCACAAAACGTTCATACCTTTCATTAGTATTGTGCAAAATGTCTCTATATTTGATTTTTTGATATTTTCACCCTTATTTTTATATTTCACTATAAAAATCATTATTTTCATTCATTTTCTTAATTAAAAGTTGTAAAATAACAAATGTACCATTCTATTTAAATAAACAAAAATAAAGAACAAATTGTAACTATACTCTCAAATTTTTTTTAAAAATTAAAATTTAAATAAATAATTAAAAAAATTGTTTATTTTTTAGTTATTTATTTGGAATTTATTTATACTTTTTTAATTTTTTTTGAAAATATAGTTGCAATTTGTTCTTTATTTTTTTATTTTTGTTTATTTAAAGACAAGTGTATATTTGTCATTTTACAATTTTTGATTGAGAAAATTGATAAAAATAACGATTTTCATAATGAAATATGAAATAATGGTAAAAATGTCAAAAAATAAAAGGTATTGATGTTTTGTATAATAATAATGAAAGGTATGGACATTTTGTGCCAATTACTATTTTAATAATTTATTTGGACTCATTTGTACTTTTTTAAAAAGTTTGGAGTATGATTGAAATTTATTTTTAACTTTTCTTTTTTATTGTTTTAACTAAATAGAGGGTATATTTGTTAAAATTTTGATGAAAATGATGATTTTCGAAATAAAATATAAAAATAAGGATACAAGTATCAAAAAATAAAAAATAGAGACGTTTTGTACAATAACATAGAAAGATAAAAACATTTTATGCTAATTACCCTTCATATCTACTATAAACTCGAGAAATGGTTGAAAAAAAACAAAAAACCTCCCACCAAACACACGCGAGACAGGCAAACCCACAAGTTGCCTAAGCACCTTAGCACCGAACATTAGCTGTCGAAGCCTTACCGAGTTGACTCGTCGAGTGGACACGTTTTGTAGTATTTAAATTCATGGGCCTACTGGCCTAGGCTCTGTCACAGTGATGGCCACTGTCTACCACAAACTCGAGGCATATTTCAACCGTCAGATCCTCCTAAACCAACGGTGGATCTGAGGGTTGCAAGAAACTTGATGAGAATTAAGCACCACGAGTTTTCAGACGTGGAGGGACCAACGATTCTGTGGATTATATGTGTAATACACTCAAATGTAGCATCAACCAAATCTGCCCACTTTCTTCCGCCATTTTCTTCAACCAGCAAATCACGGCGCTCTAAAAGCCTGTCAAGGAATCTCAGTGACTGAGCGATTAATCGATAGGTGTAAAAGTCCACACCAATCGGCCAGAGCCTCAAGCATTCGCATTTACTTACATTAATCACCAACTCATCAACATAACACTACCTCCACCGCGCCCCAATCGGCAACCGCCGCAACCAGCGGCTGTACAATGAACTCAAGCTCATCTCCACCTCCGCCGCCAACAGACGGCTCTGGTAAGAAGGTCCGAAAACCCTATACCATTACCAAGTCGAGAGAAAGCTGGACCGATGAAGAACACGACAAATTTCTCGAAGCTCTCCAACTGTTAAGCCCTTCTCTATTTCCTCCCTTGTGTGTATACACTTTATATGCATGTGTTATCTTTCAACAATTGTCATTCCATTATGCCGTTAGAGTGAAAACAGAGAGGAGTGACTGAGAAACTAATTATAGTCTCCTTCGTAAGTGTTGAGGGAGGGCTTGAGACAAACTTCTAAGATGGAACCCCAGTCTTAACGTGGTATCTGAGTCGATTAAGCTCCAATGAGCAATTTAATCCCATTGGGACTCAGAAAAGAGCAAATGAATTTCAAGATTGGTATGCTCAAATGACCCATGATCTTGCGGGGCATGTCAAGGAATAAAACCCAAATCGAATAAGCTTGAGCTACTTCATTGACCTTTTAAATGGAATCTCAAGTCTTAATAGTAAGTAAAATTGTGTAGAGACAGGTGAACATAGCTCTTAATGAATCAATATGAGTGTATTTTTACTTTTTTTAAGTAATTATTGCTTGGATTGGGCGTCTGTTGGTATGCTCGCATTCATTTGGGTTGATTGTACTCCTATTTTTATTCTGGATGTTGTTCACACTCATTTGCAGCAAGAAAATTTACCTTGTGTTAAAAAAAATTGCTAAAATATTCACAGATGCTTTATAAAACATTAGGCTAGGATACAATTTTGCTGTGTGGAGTTAGGTGTGAAAAAGGTCTGGTTTGGCTGTTTGTTGACAAATTTTTCCAAATCAAACTGTCTAAAACGGTTGGATAAAACCTCAAACCTAAACCAAACCAAATCACTCAATTGCTGTCATTTGTGGTTTGATTTGTTATGGTATTAAGCCACTTTATTTGCAGGATTTTGTTAATTGTTCTAGAGTATATATATTGAGGGAGTTGTTTATTCATTAGCTGACGAATATATGAGAGCACAAATGCCTATTCTGTTTAAATTGACTTTTGTATTCAAGGGTTGAGTGTAATGCATTCATTTAAATTAGAAAGTTAATGACTTTCAATCAAAGTTCTTATCTGTTCTAAAAGAAGTAACTAAAGGTCGCCACCAATTGAGTAGCAATGCATTCCATCGGAAATTTCTGATATATATATATATATATATATATATATATATATATATATTTATTTATTTAGTGCCACCAAACCGATGGTTAAATAGGCAGTTTCGGTCTAGTTTGGCAGTTTTTACTTTCAGCCCTATTTGTGTAGTGTGAAACAATTTCTGAAGCTTAGGTTTCCGTTTCTCTTGTAAATTCAGGTTTGATCGCGATTGGAAGAAGATTGAAGATTTTGTAGGTTCGAAAACTGTAATTCAGGTATCAATTATACCTTCAATGTCTTTTTCTGATGGATTTAAATGTGCAATTTTGTGTATATTGTGCTTGAACTGTGTGATAATCTCACCAGTCAATATGAATAATATGGAATTTGGGGCCTGGAGTTAGTATCGGTAAAATTTTGGTCTATTTTTGTGTTCCCTCTGGATTTTGTGTTTAGGCGGGGTCTGAGAATATAAATTTATCTGTCAACTTTAAATATTTGTCCTTACTGTCTAAGGTATTTGAACGGTGAATGATATTTGGCTTGTCTATTCTGAAGTATACTTGTGTATCTGATTAAACTGAACTTTTCCACAACAGATTCGCAGTCATGCACAAAAATACTTTCTAAAGGTTCAAAAGAATGGAGCAGTAGCACATGTACCTCCTCCCCGCCCTAAGCGTAAAGCTTCTCATCCATACCCACAGAAGGCACCTAGAAATGGTTTATCTTCTCCCACTCAACAAAATATTATATCAGGCTGGATCAAATTTCTGGCATCTTGACTTGTGATTTTTCTTGACTACTTTTGGCAGTTTTAGTGCCGCTACAAGCATCCATGGCATATCCTTCTTCAGCGAATTCTCTTGCGCCTGGATATCCTACATGGGACGATGCTTCCATGCTTGGAAACAATCCATCAAGTGGAGCCATGCATTCCCTTAATGAATACAATCTTCACGGATTTGAAGGTATGCGCAAGAATTTGAACATGTCATTTGTCCATATTTGCTCATAAAGCACTTACCAAAATAATGAAATTTACTTATTTGTACCAAAAAAAAAAAAAGAAAAGAAAGAAAGAAAAGGAACTTACTTATCAAAGGGTACTATTCCACCCTTCTTGTGCTGATTCAGCTGATATTGGATCCAAGGAGGTTGCAAATATAAGTGATGGCAGTATGAATGGCATGGGAGATTCAACTAGAACACCTGCAGGTTCTAGATTAACAAACCATGGCAAGCAAGAATCTTTGCTTCATGGTAAGATTATTCATCACGCTTCACTTTCAGTTAGTTACAAGCAATCACGATGAATCTTGAACAGACAATATCCAGTCCCCAAAAAGTTACTCTCTCATGTCTTTTATAATGTTAGATCATCTCCAAAAGACTCTTTCAAATGAGATACTGTTTATCTTATAGAACCAAACCTTGAAATTAGGCTCCAATAGACTCTTTATTTTAACTTTTTAAAATAGAGCGAGTTTGATTCTCTACATATGGAGAGCCTAACACACTCTATATTTGTATTTCTCATCACGATTGCATTTAATAAATCTGCTAGTTTCGATTCTCCATTACTGAAAATCCATATTATATTGAATATCTATTCACATCTAAAAGAAAATATATAATTGAAAAATCAGGGGAAAAAAATAAATGATTGTTAGATAAAGTAAAATAAAGAATTTGTTGGAGTATATAAAAAATTAACCCCTATAAATTGACAACACTTTTTTGGTTTCTGGAGATATTGAATAAGCATAACCATTCCTTATATACTTTCCATTGGCTTTGGGTTGCGGGGATGAGATCAGATAAACCATTTAATGATTCGTCAATTGAAAATTTTGTAGGACCTGCATGCAATTTTTTTTACTAAGTGTTGTTATTGGGATATGATTGCTTAATTCTATTTGTTTTAGGCATTCCGGATTTTGCTGAAGTGTATAGCTTCATTGGGAGTGTCTTTGATCCGGACAGTAATGGTCATGTGCAGAAGCTCAAGGAGATGGATCCCATTAATTTCGAAACTGTGAGTTCACTTGATGTTTATGTGGTCATTTGTGTCAGATGTCAAGCAAATAATGCTTGTAATCATTATTTCCCCAATGTACTGGTGCTGGAGTGCATATGCCAGCTACTAGGACAAAGTACTACCAGTTACATAGTTGATAAATGTGAAATGGATTTCTGATAACCTTCTCCCCTTCTTTTCATGGTGCTGTAAAAGGAAAATTCTCAGTAATCGATGAGGGGAAAAGAAAGTTCTCTATTCTGTATGTCATGTGCATTTTCCATTTTATATTAATGCGGAAGGGGTTGGGAGTTGGCATTGCGAACATCAAGTCACCTGAATATCAAGCATCAGATATGGGTATGCATTTAGAGGGTTCAAATAGCAGCAAATTATGTTGCCACTGTTATTAATGACATAAATCCATAATATCAGAGCATGTGTGGTTTTTTCATTCATGCCTCCTGCTCCCTGTCATGAAATTTCCATCAAGGATGACTTCTTACATTGTAACACTAACTTCTGTCCTGTTGTTGAAGAAGACATAACTAGTCAAAATTACCAGTTCTCATAAAGCATAGGTGATTCGTAGTTTATTTGGTTCTCATATCTATATACAACAAAGTGGATTAGAGCTATAATTCTAGTTTGTGTGCATCTGTTGTTGGTAGACATAGCATTTCTACAGAGAACAAAAGAACTTATTTGACGCCAAATAACTTGAAATGTTGTAGAATCTTTTCGGTTTTTCCTGCTCGTTCCTTGATAAGTGAATCTTTGAAGTCAGTTCAAGTATAGAGATATCATACACTTTCTATTGGTATGCAGGTCTCACTGTTGATAAAAAATCTTAGCATCAACTTGTCCAGCCCAGACTTTGAGCCAATTGTAAGTGATGTTCTTTTACTTGACTGTCTCAAAATATTTATCTAGTGGCTCTATCTTTTCATTAGCCAAACCTACAGCTTTTCGCAATAAAGCAGGGTTTGTGGTTGTTCCATCTTCCACTCTTTTAATGAAGGTATTGAGGGTGATTGGCCCAAATCCTCACTAAATATTATCAAGGCTTCATTAGGAAAAAATCAAGCTTTATAAAAATTTATCTGGATTCAGAGAATATGATTACTAAGACTCGGTCCTCAGTAATTCACAATTTTCACTTATTTTTGCAGAGAAAGGTTCTATCATCATACGATGTCAACACCAAAACAGTAGGGATATGTGCACCAGCTGTCATTAAAGCAGAATAGTGATCTCATGATCACAATAGGCATGTAATTGTATTTTATTTCTAGTAAGTTTTCTTCTTCCTCCTTAACCCAACACCTACAAACATAACCTCCCTACACACAAATGTACAAAAACCATTGACATTACACGACCGGCTGCTGGCACTAACCATAAGTACCAAAAAAAAAAAAAAAAAAAACACTTTGTAATGGTATTAATGTCATTTTTTCTTGACCAGCACTTGGATGAGAAGTCTCCACAGTTACACTGCCATGAGACTCTCTCTAATCTTCATAGACATGAGGTGACTGCCAGGTCTGTGTTTGATGGTCCCTGAAAGAACATGACCCGAGCATTGTAAGCTCCTGATTCGAAGCCCTCAAGTATTCGATGACTGGATGCGTTGTTTCCCTTTAGATTTTACTGGTCTTCTAACTAATGAGAATGCAGTATGTATATTCAGGTTATGTTTCTTTAGTCGATCACATCTTTCTTGCCAAGCCACTGCCTTATATTTTACTTTGGCATAATAGTTAGTGTGCTAGCTGGTAGAAACCATAAAAGCAATGTGTCAGTCTATATATAATTTGAAGTAGAAGAAATGTGGGTTCTGTATTTACTTGTTCCCAAGAATTATTGAATTATAAAATCTTTGGGGTATGTTTGCCTTTCTTGCATTGCTGAACCTCGGAATTTCCTGCATGATGTATTTTTAGTCTTCTGATTTTTGCAGACTGTGTCCTAATCTCTACTTTGGCTCTCCGTTCTTCTTTTTGATTTTTCCGAATTCTCTCACATGGGACACGCTTTGTCGTGTGTTTCTTCTTCCTTTTTAATTCCTGGTCATATTTGCAAGCTGAGGGAAAATTGATGTTGAGGATGACGAAGTGTCTTCCTTTCCTAACAATTTTTTTTTAATCAATGTTGGCCCTATTGAGGTTTTTTTAATTTCAATGGACGAATATTCGATGCACCAAGTATATAACATCCAAAGAAATATAATAGAAAATTAGAGGTTATCATGTTTTTAATTTTTTCTTTTCATAAATCAGGTGAACTTTAAACATTCAATATTTAAACAAAAAGAGGTTGCGATCTTCTTGTCCGTAGTTGTGTTATTTAATGTATTTTTTTTCATTTAGTTTTAACTTTCTGTTTTTGTTGTTGCATTTGCGATCTTTTTTATGCATTTTATGTCATAATGTTAATACATGCATGGTTACATATGAGCTCTTCGTACGACATCCTCTTGGACTTGCTTGTAATATATGTTACTTGCATATAATATATATTATTATTATTTGACTATTTTGTACATGTTTGTGACCTCTGGCAAATATTGTGTTGTCTTTCTTGACCATTTTGTACATGGATGTGATCTCTGTTACGGTATTTGTAATCGATTCAATGGCGTTTCATGCAATTGACTATTATAATCGAGATTCAGTCGAGAAAATTAAATAAAATCAACGAAAGAATGATTCTTCTTACATTATTTGTCACATAGTTTTGAGCGGATAGGAAAAGGCCTCTGCTTAATTTTAGGGGGAATTATTGCAAGAGAGGAAAGCTAAGTATATATCATATTATCTTTTTATAATCACAAATTATAATCATCTTTTGCAAATTTGTTAGGCATTAAAGCATATTATTAAACTATCCGGACAAGTTAACGGCCAAAGCTGATGAAGGCGAACTTGATCTTGCTTCGAGCACCTTTTCAGACCTTTTGATTGATTTTGAAAGACACCTAGTCACAAATAGAAGCTAAGCACTTGAAAAGTGCGCTAAGAAACGTTGTTTCTGTTGATGTACTTGCACAACAATTCATCATTAGCAAAATAGAGGGTTATTATACGTATAAGAGTCGTCCAATTCTTATGGAAGTTCTTTCTTTCCAATCATAATTCACAAGAACATTCTTTACTCTTAGTAAAATGGTAAAGTGTCGAGGATTAACCCGGTGTAAAATATCACATTGTTTCATGAACTCTAGTTACCGTCGAAGTAAAGGATTGTTAACAAAGACGATCTAGTGTGTTGTTGATTTTTATTCAAGACTTTCATTTGATAATGCCATGTAAATTGTTAGAAGCATGTGAAAGGCGCGAACATATATCTATTACTATTTACATCTGGTCAAGAAGAAAATAGATTAAGGGAACCAATGTTGCCTAGCGAGAGTTTGCTAGCCAATGTAAGCTGCAATTGCTTTTGATGGAGCTATTGTTAGTCAAGGAAAAGAATGGCTTGTTTGTAGGACAAATGCACAAACTCCTTTATCTGAAGTCTTGTACTTAAAAACAAGGGAGGTTAGTTCCAGTTTCCCTTTCTTCGTAACTGTGACTGCACTTTTCAAATTGGACAGCTTTCACAAGCTAAACTAGGTAAATTGAACATTAGCTGATTTATCGTATAACAAAAGAAAGGTTGAATTAGAGTATGAGAGGGGTAGCGGATGGTGCCAACCAACTGCTTATCTCTTTCCCTCGCATTCAATTCATGATCTAATGATGAGAATAAATACATGATAATGAAGAAAGACCTCCTGGGGATAAAGGACACGAGAGTAAAGAGAGCTAAAATAATCTTTCATGTTGGCATTTGGTAATAACTATTTCTTTTTAAAAAATAACGCTTAAACCCAAAGAGGTTCAAATTAAGGCCCACTTTCTGAAAAGGGCTTCGAAAACCTAGAAAGAGGCTTAGCGGCTAAGCCCTTATAAACTGAATGGCATTCCAGTAATTAACCATAAGTTCTCGTTCTATATATGTATATGAAGCTTTATTAGAAACCCTAATTTGGCACTCGCAAGCAATTCCCTTATACCCTTCACCCACCCCATTTCCCGCAATCCTACCCCCAACTCAAAATGGCTCGGCTCGGCCCTTAGTGTCACGAGCTCGACTCGTGCTCATTTTCAACGAGTCGAGCTCGGGCTCGGCTCGTTGAAATTGGGCGAGCTCGGCTCGGCCCATGACTCATGGGCTTGCCGTTTTTTTTTTATATATAAAATAAAGAATAGAGTTTTAAAAATAAAAAGTGTTAAAAAATAAAAATAATTTAACGAAAATAAATTTTTATTTTTTTTATTTATATCATATTGTAATTTGTAATACTTTTTATAAGGTATAAAATATTTATATAATGAAAACGAATTATTTTTTGAAATACATTTACAAGAAATGTTTTTTTTTATTTCTTTTTAAAGTTAATAAAGAATAGAGTTTTAAAAATAAAAAGTGTTAAAAAATACAAATAATTTTTTATTTTTTTATTTATATCATATTGTAATTTGTAATACTTTTTATAAAGTATAAAATATTTATATAATGAAAAAAAATTATTTTTTGAAATACATTTACTAAAAATATATTTTTTTGATTTCTTTTTAAAGTTAATAAAATGTAAACCCTCCTCCTTTATCCGGACTTGGGACCGGCTACATCAATTTTAAGTATGCGGAGTTAAAAATTGTACACAAACAACTTGTTGTAACGTGTACAATTTTTTAAAGAAAATTAAATTTAACGATTAAAAAATAAAAAAATTTTGATTAATATAATTAAATCAAATATCATTTATCTGACGACATGCAATTTCAGCGTATTTATCTTGTAGTCGAAAATGAGCGTCATGTCAATCCTTCACACACATTAACGCTTCCAAAACATCTTCTTTCAGTCGGCTCCTGACATCAGTCAAAACCCTTTTACCTGCACTAAAAGCAGATTCCAAAGCAACAGTGCTAATTGGAGGTGTCAATAGATCTTTCGCAATTGCAGAAACAATTGGCCAACGTCTTTCATACTTTCGCCAGAATTCAATTACTTCTTCTGAATTTTTTAAATTATTCTGTTTGTTGGCATATTATGATTGAAATAATCAATTAATTCGGCAGGCATCGCATTTTGAGTTTTGGCCGATATTTGATGAGATGTAGAAGTAAATGACATGGCACTAGATGAACACATTGTAGTTGCATCATATATAAATGTATTAATGCCCTGAAATAAATTCATTATTTTCGCAGTATCTTCTTCAGTTTCAGCCGAAGGAGTAGGTGCAGTAGAGGGTACCCAACTAACATTTGCACCCATTCTTTCCGCATATAAATCATACATTCCACATAATGTTTGCTCTAAATTCTTATAGGTGATAGGTGTATCAAGTATTAAAACTTTATTGATTTGATCAATTACATATTTAGTTCCCGAAATATTATATCGGGGGTCCATTGTGCATGCTAAAGGAAATAACATAGGCAGTACTTCCCAATATTTTCTAAACTTTAATTCCATAACAATTAAAATTTCACTAAAACCAGGATCATTTTTATATTTATGGAACGTTCTTGCAATTATATAAAGGCGTTCAAACACCATACAACTTGTGGGATAATAAATGCCGGATAAAATCTTTGTAGTCTCATAAAAAGATGTCAAAAATCATTTAACTTTCAAAACTAAAATCCAATCGGATTCATTTAACATACCATCATCATCACTTCTAACATGTCTATTATTATAAAAGTCAGTTATTAAATTTTCGAAATCTTCACATGATTTTAATAGCAAATATATAGAGTTTCATCTATAACCTACGTCGCTAACAAATGTTTTAGCAGTCATCACCCCTAATTCGGCACAAAAATTTTCAAATGCTTGTTTTCTACTAGAAGAGATCGTAATATAAACTAATGCATTCCTAATCCTTTGAAATTCATCCTTTATATGTTTTAAACCATCTTGCATAATTAAATTCAAGATATGACACACACAACGAATATAAAACAAATACCCACCAAAATCAGGTTGAAGTGTCCTACACAATTTATCGACGACTACCTTATTAACGCTAGCATTATCAAAAGTAAAAAATCGAATTTTACTCTCACAATGATATTCTCTAACAATACTGATAATAACATTATATATATTATTAGCATTGTGAGGAAATTCAATAATTCTAAAAGCAATAATTTTCTTATGCATGTACCAAAGTGGGTCTATATAGTGTGCGATTGCAGCTATATATGCTCTTTTATTAACCCCTTTCCATATATTAAAAGTTAAGGATATAACACCCCCATATTGTTGTAAATCCATAATTAATTGTTGTTTTGAATTATTGAAATAATTTATTGTATCGCCACGAAGAGTGTTTCAACTTACCCCAACGTACCTCGGTTGTAGATATTCTTTCACGAACGAGACGAAGTGTTGGTTGTCTGCAATAATCAGAGGCAACTCAGTGGCGGCAACAAATTTCACCATTCCAGTTCGAGTCTCGTCCTCCGAGTATACCCACGTGGATAGGGGTGAAGTTGTAGAACCGACGCCTGGATTGCCAAATTTTAATTGTGTTTGACCAGTTGGAAGAAGTCTATGTCTGGCTGCACATGATTTGTAGTGGCGGTTGAGATGAGTGGTACCAATTCCTTGTTGCCATGCCAATCTTTGTTGGCAGTATTTACATACTGCTTTAGATTCTGCAAGGCCATCAACGACTTTTTCCGTTGAAATCAACTTAAAGTGATCCCAACATTTTGCTTGCTTTTTGGCCTTTCGCTTTCCCCTCGCATCTAGGATATTTAATTGCTGATCTTCATCTTCATGTTCCGCTTCGGGAACGTTAATATCATCCAAATCAATTGGAATGTTGCTTCCCTGACCGTGAATGTGAACATCTTCAAGTATCGGTATGTCATTTAGACCGGCAAACATGGCGAGCCGAGCTTGCCTACGGGCGCGGCCCGCTCGGCTCATGATTTCACAAGTCCCAGCCACCCACGAGCCCTTTTTTCACGAGCCGAGCAGCGAGCGGGCTCGACCCAATTGACATCCCTACTGCTGCCCGCCCCCTTGTCACCGTGCAAGCCATAGAGAATGATATGGCCACTGACGGAGCCTCCTTGTCACTTCCCGATGTGATGAAAGCGTCAATCCGCCCGAATATCGTGACATTTGTTCACGGTCAAATCTCCAAGAATGCTCGTCAGCCATATGCCGTTTCCAAGCGCGCCGGCCATCAGACCTCGGCTAAGTCTTGGGGCACTGGCCGTGCCGTGTCGCGTATCCCCGTGTCCCCGGAGGTGGTACTCACCGTGCCGGACAGGGTGCTTTTGGAAACATGTGCCGTGGTGGTCGCATGTTTGCTCCTTCCAAGATCTGGCGCTGCTGGCATGGAGCAGTGAATGTCACACAGAAACGCCATGCCATGGTTTCGGCTATTGCCGCATCGGCTGTTCCTTCACTGGTAATTGCCCACGGGACATCATATTGAGGAGGTTCCTGAATTGCCTCTTGTTGTTTCTGATTCGGCTGAGATGCTGGAGAAAACAAACGTTGCTATTAAAATCCTTAAGCAAATTGGAGCTTATCCTGATGCTGAGAAGGCTAAGGATAGTCTTGGCATCCGTGCTCGAAAGGGTAAAATGCGCAACCGTTGCTATATTTCCAGGAAAGGCCCTCTGGTTGTGTACGGTACTGAGGGTGCAAAGCTTGTGAAGGCATTCCGTAATATCACTGGCGTGGGGGTTGCTCATGTGTCCCGGCTTAATCTTCTTAAATTGGCTCCTGGAGGTCATCTTGGGAGGTTCATCATCTGGACGAAGTCTGCTTTTGAGAAATTGGATGAGATTTATGGAACTTTTGACAAACCATCTGAGAAGAAGAATGGATATGTGTTGCCGAGGGCCAAGATGGTAAATGCTGATCTGGCTAGGATCATTAACTCTGATGAAGTTCAGTCTATTGTGAAGCCAATCAAGAAGGAGATCAAGACGGCTCCATTGAAGAAGAACCCGCTGAAGAACCTGAATGTGATGCTGAAGCTTAACCCATATGCAAAGGCTACTAGGAGGATGGCACTCTTGGCTGAAGCACAGCGTGTTAAGGCTAAGCAGGAGAAGCTCGACAAGAAGAGAAAACAAATCACTAAGGTACTGTTGTCTTTACTTATTATCTGGTTATGGCTGTTACTGATGATTTTGTCAATTGCTCACGAACACTCTTCTAATTTTCTTTTGTTGCAGTACATAATTAGACGTTGTTATTTCTATTAATGATTACACCTTTGGTTTTTAAATTGTGCACACGTTCTCTGATTAGACATCAGAATATCTATTCCCACAATATTTATCTTTAAATAGGTCAATATAGTTTTTGAAAAAAAAAAAAAAAATTTGATTTTGAAGTGTTTGTTATTTGTAATAAGAATATAAAGCAGCTAGTAAGGAAACATTCTCACATGTATGAGTAAGAAAACAAAGGTATAATCATCAAAGTCTAATCATGCTTAAATGAAGGTATAACTGAAGATTGTTATCTTATATAAATCGAAGTGCCTATATTGACTGTTGATGTTGATATGATGGAAGATTGTGATTAATGACCCCAAAAAAAGGAACTTTGGTACAGCTATGATGTAAAAATTGGAGAGGTTCGATCTATAGTCATTAGATACGTTCTTGGTTTTCATTTTGTGTTGGTATCAAGAGATAGTTTCTGTACCATTTCATTTCAAACTCTTAAAATTCAGATATCTTCATTATGAAATGTTGAGTTCAAGTTTGAAAAATTCTGTACACAATCATATACATAATATTATTTCTACGCAGGAAAATATTTTTTTTCTTGTTTTATATCCTTATCACGTATTTACATAAAACCACACTTTGTTGTGTTGTCATGGTACTGAACTTTGAACAATATCTGATATATTCTTTGTTTTCTTCTTGTGCTACTATGACTTCTGTGGCTTTGTACTGAAATTGAGAAAGTTATCAAAATCTGGAGTTTCTTTTTGTATATTATATGGATGATCCAATCTGCAAGGACCATGATTTGGAATTGTTTGATGGTCTTCCTCTTGAAATCATAGTATGTCTTGCCTCTATTTGTTTTCTTGTTGCTTTCATTTGCAGGAAGAGTCTTCTGCAATTAAAGCCGCGAGCAAGACATGGTACAAGACTATGATCTCAGATAGCGATTACACAGAATTTGAGAACTTCTCAAAATGGTTGGGCGTCTCCCAGTGATTTAACTGTATTTGAAGTCTTTTAGAACATATTTTGTTTACTTTTGTTTCGTGCTTTTGGATTTTAAGACATGAAGGTGATCGTATGGGAGGGGAATTAGAGCAATAACTTTTCTTCACTTAAGTTGTCATAGTCCCCTTTTTTATAATTTGGTGTCTGAGTTTATGGCTAGTTTGAGAAATTTTGGTTCAGACTCGCTAAAAGTATTTTATAGAGTATCTCGTTATTTATGAATTGAGGGTACTATTGTGATCCAATTTTGTTTGTGGTATCTATTTGAGATATCTAGCATCCTTGATTTTTTTGGGGGGCTGATACCTTCAACATCTTCGGATTCTCCTCACCCAAAACTTGGTTAAATGCTGTCTTAGAGATGATAGGTTATATAACGAATGTTTAATGGTTGATTGAGACATCGATCATTCTATTTGACGACTTGCCAAATTTGAGATGCAAATCTAACTTTTTTATCCAAATTCCAAAATATTATTGATCGGCCCCCTGACGAAACCTCGACCATTTTTTGATGTTTCTCTTCCTTATGATTTGTGATTTTTGCTTAAAAATATGACCTTTTTTTTAACTGTGGATCAATTAGTTGTGGGACTCAAAACATAGACGTGGGAACAATACAAGCTTCAAATTATAACATGATAGTGGCAAAAGAAAAAATGCTGCAACTACAACATACAGATGACGTTCTTTCCTTCTCCATTCCAAACAAAACGTCCTGTGAAGATATCTATCTTCTCATTACCCAAGCACTCCCTGATTAGTGATGTAGGGATTCAACATTATGCGGTTTCTTATCACATTGATTGATGGATGTAACCACTTGTCTATGAAAGTGCTGGGGCGCTTGCTTTCTTCGATGAGATGCGATAAAGAGGTATTGCTCCTACTAAAATCCAGTTACACCACCTTGGTGAAAGCTTTTGCCTTGTCCGGTCAACCTAAGCTAGCTAACAAGGCCTTTGATGAAGTGCTCAAGGATATCCTCAAGTGAAAGTTGATTTAGTTTCCCGGAATATGTTGGTGGAAGGTTATTCTTAACTGCACTGACTGATGAAGCTGAAAGTATAATTCAAAGGATGAAAGATACTGGCTACTATCCAAAGTGGCCAACGGGATTGCCCTTCTTCTCTGGAATAAAATAAAGGAGAGGTGTGGAATGGAAAAGGAATGAGAAGGGCCTAATTCTTCTTCAGTTCCCCATACCCGATGAATGACTCTTGGATATTCCAGCTGATGTTTGTGTAAAGGCAGCTTTCTTTAGGAAAGCTTTGAAGATTGTTGATTGCATTGAAGAGCAGGGAATACCTCCAAATAAGATCAATTGCAAGTGCAAGAGAATATATTTTGTAATGCATTCAAGGATGTTTACTAGTACTCTCAGCTAGAAAGGACGGAAGAAGGGAAGGAAAAGAGCAGCCGAGGCTGTCATGTTTTGGTTAGGATTGCCTGATTCTTATTGTGGTAGTGAGTGGAGGCTTGACCCAGCAGCTGAAGATGAATATCTACACTAGGAATTGCTCAGCATCATCTGTTACATGGCATCAGTCTAATACATTTTCCATGACATATAATTTTTAGACTTCTACAATTTAAACACAGGAGTTGTGTTATATCCTAAGGATTAGGCTACTATGATGACAGAATAAGCCCCGTTGTTGATAAGTTTGGGTCGACTTCATGAAATCATGAATTATCTCAAATTAATGAAGCTAACTCAATAAGAGCAATATAGAAGAATATGAAAATGTAGAAATCATACTAAATTTCATTACCATGCACTAAGTATCAATCGTTGAGGTAATATCTACAAATAAAACAAGATTGATTATGCAAGTCTATTACTTTGGCTCGTTTAAACGCTTACAACTTGCAGGATCACCTGGCATTGGAAGTGAGATTCTGCAAGAATATTGCAACCAGAGAAATGCCACGCCAGTAGGCATCAAATCCAACAGTTGAATAAGCCATAGGAAAACCAACTGCAATGCTTCAGCCAGAATAGATAAAAGCACTTGATACCTTTTTGACATTGGAATGATGATGAGAAATGCAACATTTGCACCCCTCCCCTTCTGCAAGATATAAATAGTAAGAGTTGAATCATTCATCATTGATCACCCTTTCAAATCATTAGCCCCTTTTTATTTGATAGTATCAATTTTCCTCAAAAGCAATAATGTTTAACATAGTCTAGTATACGAGGCATGGATATCGGGCAGTTTACTAGAAGATGTGAAGTGCTTGAAGAAGAAGCCATAGTAGCAAATAGAAGAAATGTAAATTTAGAATTTACCTGTTAGCTAGAGCTGCGCCTATCCCTTTGGCCTTGATGATTGACTATGCGAATAAGATGATGATAACACCTGCGGTACAGAATTTTAGATGCTTGCATAGAATAGCAATTTTGAGAGCCACAAACACCATCATCAGATGCTATATTACTTGCATCAGAAATCTGCCCAAGTGGCCAGAAACAGCTTGAAGGCCCATGAATGTGTGCACACTTATTGGAGTTATTTGAGACTTTTGATTCATCAGTTCATAAAAAATGGAAGATCAGATTTAATTTAAGCTAACAGATAATAAGAAATTCATTTGGGTTTACATCCCTGAAAATTCAAGCTCATTTTTCATTTTTAGCACTTTCGTAAATAAGAACTGCAAACTAATGTGCAGATGATGAAGTCATAATGACACAGTACCTGATATGTCCTTGGCCCCTTCTTTAATAGATAACCGACGCTGTTCAAATTATCTATAAAAGTGTCGATATCTGGAACCCTTAAACCAATCCTATCTGCCAAACTGTATATTTCCTGAGCAATTAATGGAAAAGTTGAATTGTTTTGTTTACAAATATCACTTTGTTTGTTGAATCCATATTAATGCAATATTTCAAGTAATCAAGGGTACTTACAGAAATTGAGAAGTTATCTTTCTGCTGCAACTCTGACTGCTTATTCAGGGCGCTTAAAAATCGCTTCGCTTCTTTCTGTTGACTCATTCCACCACTCCGGCCGAAATCAACAAAACCATTCTCATCCACGTATTTGTCATACAAGGATTCTTTCATTATTTCAACAACATCCTGCATAATTTACTCTTCATAATCAATCCTGATAATCATAGGGTAGTGCAAGTGCAATTTAAAAAATGTAAATACCCACAATTAGTAGTATACTCGACAAGGTTCGTAATACTAAATAAAGAATCTCAATCAAATTCGACAAGGTACATGAATATGCATATTGTATAAAAATGTAAATAGCCATAATTAGTAGTATAACATCTTAGATTTGAGCAAAATCCATCAGAAATTGTAGAACTTAAAGATATTTAAGTGAATAAGTCAAAAAATTAAGCATATTTACAAGCTTATGACGAGCTAAAACTTATCCATTGAATCTTGTTATTGAACTGGCCTGTAATTGCCCCTTCTAAATGCCAAGATATTACAGAAATTGTATGTCCATTCCGCTTAGGCATCCATTTGAACAATTTTTAGTTTTATTTCTGGTTTGTTTAAGAATAGCAATACATGGAAGCACTTCACTACAGATGTTGGTCTCCTTGGGTAGGAATTCTCTGTCACCATCTTTACTCAAGTTTTGCGCCATAATGAAGATATATTCAGTTTGGTATTATCCTAAGGAAAGATTATTACTGAAATTTCATGGGTCATTGACCTGTTACTCAATTCTAGATTTTCCTTCTTTCATCTCATTGCTAAACATGAAATCAGAGCCTCCACACCTTGAGCAGTGCGTAAAGCTGATTGGCAATTTGGACAATTTGCAGGCATCCATCTATGACAGCTTAGACATTATAGACAGAAGATTGTTCGTTATGCTCCTTCTCAAATTGCTCAAAGAGCACTAACAATTTGAGAATAACCAACATTTGTCATTCACGTAACTGGACATCCCAAGAGTTCTAGGTTCATCATGAGCTGCCTGGCCATATATCTGTTTCGGTCCTTGCGTCACAAGGGTACTATCTGATCTAATGTGACCAACATAATTTCATGAACAACTGGGAAGAAGTCGCTTGTGACTTTATAAGTTTGCTATCCCAAAAGTGAGCAATAACATATTCATGTCCCTTGGAATACTCAAATGGCCCTTGTGGTGCATATCAAGGTAACAAGTTCAGACAAAAATGAAAAGCATGGAAATTACTTTCTACCAGATAACAATATTGAACATATGACGACTTGAAAATTATAACTGCTACACACAACAAAAGTTGTCCTTTGGCCATTTATTTCTTACAAGACAAACTTACCAAAGCGTCTTGCATGCTTATTTCTTCTCTTAAATCCACTCTAGCTCGAGCTTCTGCCAATCTTACTAAGCTCTCTAACTGCCTTGCTGTTATTGGCTTACCATCAGCAGAAGTGTCATGATCTCTTAGTCGTAAGTAAAACTTCTGCAGGATTTCTGCTGCTGGTCTGGTCATCCTTAATGATACAAGTTAAAACCAAATTGTGATTTAAGTATTCACCAAAGTATCCGACAAAAACATTTTACATTTTAGAAAAAGCATCAAATCACCTTGGAAAGACGTGTGTTCTTGCATATGTAATGTATTTACGTATAAGAGGACCAGGTAGTGGAACAAAATCACTGTCCTTTTGAGGATCAAGTCTCAACCTGGCAACAAGAGAACCACTTTTTACATTCATATCTATGCCTCTGAAGTCCTGTGATTCTGCAAGTGGTAAAACAAATCAGTCAAAAGAAAACAGATGTAATTAATAATTTAGAAAATTATGTAAGTCACCTGCACGTATCTTCTTCACAGCTGGTGATTGTTGCCCATTACCAGAATGAAGCTGCAAAAATAAATCATCATTTTCAATTTTTCATTTGAATTAAGCGGTGATCCATAACAACCAGAAGGTTCTATTTATCAGTACATGCATGCCATGCTACCTCCCATTTCAGCAGAGTAAGGGATGTGTGGCCTTCGAAAAAACAGAAGATGAAGATTTAGGAAGGAAGAACATTAAAGGAAACATGCAGGACTGGTACCGAAATGGTTTCTAACAATTTAATGTCACTTTCTAGCTGTTATACTGATTACACGGTAAAAGTTATGGTAAGGAATGGGCGTCTTGACACCAATCAGGCATGAAGTCAACAAACTTCTTAAGGTTTCAAAATTGTTGTGAGCAAGTTCATTAAAATCTCCTTGACCAGTGGAAATAAATGGAAGAACAGAAATTATAATGGTTGGCAGTGGACTAGAGGAGAGCAGGTGCGAGCAGAGCTAGGCTTCATTTTGTTGATAAAATGCATTGCTGCTAGAATTTCATTTCCTAGATGGTAATAGCTAGCTTTTCAGTGAACTTATACGCAGCATGTTCTGATATCCCTTTGGTAAGCATGTCAAGAATTATTTGTGGTATATACTTGCTGGAATAGTTATACATCATGTCAGCCTGTATTTTAGGAGTTGTAATAAGCAATAGTGTGTTTATATTGTTTTTCTGTGTCTAGTCCACAATGTTTTCCAATCTGTATTTCTGTACAAGTGCAAGAAGAAGCTGCATAATTAAATTATTAGGTTCAAAGAAGAGATAAATAACACTGCATATGTTCTCATTAAATGGTCATCTCCACGACAAGCACATAGATCTTGCTGGTAACTGCATAATGTCATTTCCTCGTGTATCAGTTTGGGGAGCAGGCAAGATAACTTACTGACATGATGTGCTCTGAAAGTCGTTTGTCCAGCAGCTCATCAGGCTTATCAAGTAATATGAAAACCAAATCGAATCGTGAGAGGAGAGCACCACTCATTTTTAAGTTCTCATTCACAGTTTTGGCACGGCTGCAATTAAAAGGAAAGCTATTCAGAATGTGTTCAAGATGCACGCAAAAAATATGGCAGCTATTTGATAATTACCTCTTTAAAATATTAGATTGCAACATGGCAAGAGAAAGTAAATCGTTCGAGTAGTTTTTCATTTTTCCATTTGTGGAAGACATTGAAGAAAATGGTTTACTAGAGACATAGGCTGTAGGAAGGGAATCTTCTAATAATTAGAGGGGGAAAAAAAAAGAATAATACTATTTGTACATAATAGTTTATATACAGATGAGATGTCAAAAAATAGTGTGTGTATATATATATATATATATATATTTTTTTTTTTTTTTTAATTTGTTTGAAGAAATTTTTGACACAATCATAGCTCACCACATCATATGTATGTAAATCATTATATAAACCTTTATTTACATGCAACACAACTGAAAAAATAATGCCATAGTGTGTCAATTACTTACTAACAAATGGCTTTATAAAAGATCCTTGTTTTTTAAACAGCAATATAATGGATAAGTCTATCATAATTCCTACAAAAATGTAGTAAATCACATTTTCTGGTGAAATTTATTCACGATACTTATAATGACCCCCAACAGGGTTGGCTGCTGCTAAGACAGATGTTCTTGCTGATAAACTTGCTACAAGTCCTGCCTTTGCAACAGAGACGCACTGTTGTTCCATCGCTTCCAGTAGGGCCTGGAGAAATCCCAAATCAGTGTGCTCCTTATATAGAGACCAGACAGTTTGTATTTTCAATAAATAGAGCTTACAGACCTGGTGTTCTGCCGACATTTTGTCAAATTCGTCAATACAGCATAATCCACTGTCTGCAAGTACCATGGCACCTATTGATGAAGATGGCAGTTAAATTTAAAAATGGTTGTTCCATTATAATCCACACATCCAAAGACAGATTTTCTAGGGGTATCCATTAGAAATAGGATTGACTTCAGTGAAGTTGCATAAATGTCATAACATAGGAGTACATTTAATAATTTGTTATTCAGAAGTGTGTCACCACTTAAACTCTTTAATTCCCTATTTAGAGGCCTTTCGACGTATAGTATATTCAGCTTTCAGTAACTACCAAATACAGATGCTTTGCCTCCCTCTCTCTCTCTCTCCACTTCTTCCATGTCTTCTCTTTCTTCTCTTCACATAGGTACAGAATCTCCAACACTTTAAAACAACCGTAAAAACTAAGTATTCCTTGGACCCGGATTTGGTGCATTGCAAACACCTTATAGCATTTAAAACTTATCAAACTAGAGGCATGCTGTTATTGCTGCTCTTCATAATCTATAAGATTTTGTGGCATAGAGCAAATCCAAGGTGAATCTTACTAATAGGACTGGAGAGGAAGGGACCCGGTAGGCCATAAAATATCATCCAATCAAAAGTAAACACAAGAAGATTTTCTATATAAGACACTCGAAATGAAAAAGAAGGAAAGCTTCATCCTTCTGAGAGCTACTACTTGTTTTGTATGTCCTCTGTAATTGCACATCCATAAGGTTCAGCTGTCTTTCATATCACTACATTGCATATTGCATACCACAAAATTTGAAAACTAGAATATAAATAAAATTAGAACCAAAAAATAAAAAAGAAAAAGAAAATTAAGAGAAGAAAGAGCTCAAAAAGGGTAAAAAAAATGGAGAAGGGACTTTTTAACAGAACTGACTAAAGCAACTAAGATATACCTTATTATTGTCAAATCAAAACTTGACATGGGGGAAGAGAAATTTATAATCAGATATTAAGGAGAACATGCCACATGTCAGATTTAGATGCAATAGTCAATTGGAAAAAGAAGAGGAAGAAGTATACCAGCCTCAAAAGCATAGTCACTTGTCATAGGATCCTTAACCACGGCAACTGTGAGGCCAGCATTAGTTGTTGCATTACCACATACATATATTCCACGAGGAGAAACAGAAGCTGCCGCTTGGAGTAGTTGACTTTTACCCAGTCCAGGATCGCCTAATAATATAAATAAAATTTTCCACCAAATGTTGACATTTGCAATTAATTCCTCCAAGTTTTAGGTAACAAGTATTTCCACTCCATCATTAAGTTAGTATTAGTTTCAGGCAGGGGAAGAGAACTTCCTTACCTACGACTATTACATGGATATCTCCTCTGACAGGTACCTTGTTCTGATCCATTGCGTGCTTGCGAACACCGCCAAACAGTGCTAGTGTAATTCCAGCTGTTGACCCGCAAAGAGTAAATGCGAAATTAAGGTTAATTAGCATGTTTGTGTTTCATTTTCTGAGCTTCAAATCAATCGATGAAATCAATTTTACCTACTATGTGAACCATCAAATACACATGCAGGAACAGCACTGTTGAAGCATGTACAAAAAGGGTATAGCACATATGTAATACATGTTCCCGTAATATGCATATCAATGAAGTCTTCATGCCATAATTATGCATAGTGACTAACATCGAAATCTAAGTAATATATATTTTAAACACTCCCATTTTACATTACAGAGCAATATAGATGGTGCTTCATTTTCCTTTTCCTTTTAGGGCATGGTAAGTAAGAATCATTTTTTACTAAGAGGAGCCTTATTCAATTTGCCATATGTGTGATCAGTCCTTAGAGGCCAGGGAGAGTTTTTAGGACCGCAGATTCTTTGTAAGGGGTAACATATATGAGGTTCCTTCAGCTAATAAGATGAATAGTTCACTTAGAAAACAAGATGCTCTTTTCTTGCTTCGAAGCTGTTGTAATCATCGCAATCAAACTAAATTACAGGGTAGACACTAACAATGTAAAGCATTTTACAGAATGGTTTTCAGTGAGAAAATTGACAAAATACCATGTGTAAATACTTCCTCATGCCTTGAGCTGGAATATCATGCTTAACATTACAAAGAGAAAAAACAAAATCGCATTGAATGAATAATTTGCTAACGTTAATTCATACAAATATACCTTTAACAAGCTCGTGGCCATAGATGGATGGGCAAATTGATTGAAGTATTTGTCGAAAGATATCAGAACCATGCTCCTCAGAGAACTTTACAATGAACTCTAGATCTCTAGCTGAAAATGAGAACAAATCAGAAAGCTCCATAGCCCTAGCATTGCTGTTAGTATCTTGCAAATCCTCTGCCACAGATTGAGACTTGGAGTTCATTATTGAAACTGCTTCTAGGTACAAATAAAACAGTGCTTGACTCTTTCCTTTTGATTTTCCTGAAATAGTGAGAATCAAGAATAATCATCAAATACAGATACGAGGTTATATCTAAACTCAATTATTTATGTTCTGTATACAAGCATGCAGTGCACTTAAAATACAAATTGGACAAGCAAGTGCCCCTAACAAACAAAAGGTCAGATTCTCTCCAATGTGATAATATTCGCATACTCAATGCTATCGGTATTCTGGCAATATGGAGAGAGAGGCCAACTTCATTGTCATCGTATGAAGCAGAAGTGCCAGATGGTAAAACACCTAAGTTTACTTTTTTAACATACAAAGTCCATCAAATATCTACAAAAACACGAAAAGTTATGACAGGATATTTTTTGCATGCATACCTCCTCCAATATCCATATAATTATTAATCACCCTTATAATACCAGCGACAGTCACAACATCTCCAGGAATGCATGCATCTACAAGGTCTTCAGTCAGTTCGCATTCAACTGTCCGAGGCACCCGACCTTCTTCATGGTGTTCAGATTTCAGTAACTCTTGAATCCTATAGGTTACACTAAAATTGTAAGATCATAACAGAAACAATCCAACGAAAAATATGTCCTTGTGCTAAAAATATCGAAGAAGGAACACACTAAGATACAGTTCAATAGACCTACTGCAGAGGGTACCTTATTTTTTGGAAATCTACTGGTCGAGCAGATGATCTAATCGGATTGAAAATCCGGCTTTTGCATGCGTGCATTTCACATTTCATTGGCGGTGAAAATTTTCCATCTGGAAAGTCACACATAATGGTTGTCCCACAATTTCCACATGAAAAATTCATTTGCATTACCAGAGGCCGCACTGTACTAACTTTTACTACAGTCCCATGTACAGAAACAAGCCTGTCTATTACAACATCCAATCATGCAATTTACTTAATTTGCAAAATAAGATAACTTGATATTTGTTAATTCACCTGGAACTATAAATTACACTAATTTCATAGTTACCAATATAAGCAGCCTTAAGGTTCTTTAAAGCAATCATGGATTCAGGGTAGTTGTGTAAACGGATATTAATCTTTGCATAACCCTCCATACTGTCATTCTCCCCTTTGCTCAACAAAACCTGCTTGCATTTTTCAAAGCATACAAAATCAACACCAAGCACAAAACTCATTCACTGAATAAAAGCAAAAGTCTACAAAATCTCATGGCCTTTATACCTTGTGCAATGCAGCTCTCATGCACAGCAAAGCATCTTTAGGTCTTTCTTCCATGGTTGCATAAAACTCCCCTAACTCACATACTTTCCTGAACTTCTGAAAGTCGAGTGGCACAAAGAATATACCGTCATCCTCTTTTACCTGTGCATTACACCAGATTGCCAAGTTTTGTGTTTTCATTATTGGCATTTTTGATAAGGAGGATTAGATTTAAGAAGAAAAATAAGTTAAAATGTCGTTTATTACACAGTATAGTCCTAACTCCTACCAAACATGCTCTATAAGTTCTCCTTATCACCTGACCTGTACTGGTTTGCGGCCAGAAAGAGAAATCGCTATATAAAGGATATTAAAAAATAAATAAAATAAAATGTGGATATTGATTGTCTTAAAACATAAATGAATTGAATTAAAATAAAAAACACTTGATACAACCAAATTTTGAAAATTGTATCAAGATTAATATTCTTCAGCCGTTATGAGAAATGCGTAGGCCTCAATTGTGTGCGTGTACCGACAGCCGTTCGGCCCGTTAATACAAACAAGTATGCTCTACACAAGTATAGATGGTAAATGCGTTCGCGTTCATATTCGTGTGAAGACACTGGAGAAAGAAAGGGAGAATGAGATACCTGAGAGACAAATTCTTGTCCTGATGAAGAGGAGAAGAAGTAAAAGAGATCGGAAGTGAGTAAGAATATCAGCTCGGAGTCTTCGGAGGAGTTGATTTTGGGGAAATAAATGGCCAGGATTCTCCCGAGGTCGCTCACAACCGTTGACCGGAATTTTGTTGTTTCCTTGTCGACCTCCATCTGGTTTACGTACATCGCGGCGTGGTGCTGTGGTGCCGGCGAGTGTCAAATCGATAGATATTTGCCCCCTTTTGCTTTTGGCGGGAAAATAAAATATGAAGGGCGGATGATATGAAGGCCGGATACATCCACCTCAGCTACTCCTTTTATACTGAGGAAAAAGGGAAATTATTTGAGGAAAAAATAAATAAATAAATAAAATTGCCGACAAAGAAATTTTCTTAGATAATTTTTGTATATCTATCGATTTTCCATTTTCTACAAAACACTTGATTAATAAATTATAATAGTAATTACTTGTGTTTACGAAGTTTTTGTATTGATTTTTTTGCACTTTTGCTCCCTATCATATTAGGTAGGGGTGAATGAGGTTCGATTTAAATGGTTTGTGCCATATTTTCAACTCAAACTATTTTAAATCATTTAAATTTTTTCCAAACCAAACCATTTTATATTTCAAATCAAATTAAATCAAACTATTTTTTTGTAATTTTGTTCGATTTTAATCCGCGATTTACATGTCGACATAGTATTATATTTAAAATAAGTTAACATATAACTTTAAATGAAAACAAATAATGTTAAATATTAAAATTACATTCATATATAGTCATGCTTGCCATAACAAGACACGATATGAAAAAATAACCTTGCATTGTGCAATAATGAGGAGGTAAGCTCATCAGCATACAACGTACAATTTGGCGTTTATGCAATTTAACATTGACATGACAAGCATCAGAAAAAAATAAAATTACCGGTAAATGCCCCCAGAACACATCCCAACTGGCAAAGATGAGGGCGCTTCAAGGCTGACAGATCAGAGGTCGTGGGTTCGATTCTTCGAAAGCTCTTGGAAGACAGATATTCTCCTGGAAGGCAGGAGCTCTACTGGAAGGCAATGTGCAAAGATGGGAAATACGACTTGCTTGGCACTTTGACAGATCAGTTGAGGGGCTCTTGAGCACTGGTCACTTTAGGACACAACCTGCGGTTTAACTTGTCTACAGCTTGAGGGGTCAAGGTGTAGATTCCAGGATTTAATCACTATAAAGTGGATATCTGGATATCAAAATAAAATAAAATAAAATAAAATTACCGGTGAACTTGTGCATACGTATGGGGTTCATTTGAATCTGATAATAGAATGCATATATATGAACAAAACTTTAAAGTGTTTGAAGTGTTACGCACTGCATGTGAGATGGAAATGCAAAGAATTTTGTTTTAGCAGATTATATGTAGTATATTTAATAATTAGCTATTTTACTTCGTGCATTCATGCTTAATTAAAATTTCAAAATGGGAGAACATGAATAAAATATAATAATACGATAAAAAGGGCAAATCTAATCTGAACATATTTCATGCATACAATTTTGGTTTCTTTGATTTTAAAATAAATAACCCAATCATTGTATTCATATTATTTCTGCAGCCATCTAAAATTGTATTCCTACAAAAATGTCTATAACTTTTAATTGCATTAGCATGATGTTTGATGATTCCTTGAAACATAATAAATAGTAAATAATTGGAAATAATAAAACCAATGCACTTTAGCTACGTTGAAATAGAAAAAGAATTCCCTAGATTTATCAACTAAACTAAAAAAATGACTATGTAAATATAATACAACGAGTAGATGAAGACAAGTGAAAATAGAGTTGGGAAGAGGATGCTATCTTAACTTAGACGAATGTCATAGCACTAAAACTATGCAAAAAATGAGTAAATTTTAACACATTCCCAAATTGGTATAGCTCAATTAATGTATATTAAAACCAAAGCAAGGATATAAGATAAGTTAACAAATAAAAGTTATGTATTGTAATTACCACTTTTTTCTTGGAAAGTTAAAACGATAAAATGTATAATGAGTTAAATGTTTCATTGGCCACTAAATTTTACACCATGTCAAGGCTTACTCACTGAACTTTATCAATTGTCTCATTGGCCACTTAACTTTGATCCGTTCAATCCCGTCACTCACCTGATTAGAACTGTTAATAGACGAGCCTACTTGGATGACGGTAAAATGATCTGGCTGGTTAAATTCTTCAAGTGGTGTGACAAGTCCCAACTCAGGTTCCACATCAGCAAAATTAAAATTCATTTAACTACACACAACTTCATCATTCCTCCACTCAAGACTTAACGAAATCAAAACTTAATTTCTCTTTCATTTTCTTGCCCAGATCGCGAAGAGCCCTACAACTGTGAGAATGCATCTTTCCCAACTCGTTTGATCCCTAAATTCAAATCAAGAACCCTAAACCCCGAACTCGAATTAAAAGTATGTGAACAACAATCAGCCATCCTTCTCTTTCACAATCCCCAACTTCACTTATAGAACCATAACCTCTCAAAAATCAAATTGCGAAGTATTTGAACACACAGTTGGCCATTGTTCTACAGTGTTGAAGGCGTGCACATGGAAGATTCAGTGAGGAATATCCCCATTTTTGTGGGCCTATAGGACTGATTTCATACCTACCTCCATTTTTGTATTTTAGAGAAATAACGTAATTTTAGGTTTAGTTGTTTTTTGAAACATACTTAAATCTTCTCGGTTCAAGTTATTATACATGAGTTAATTGGGATACTTTTTGACTCAGAATAATTCGTACCAATTGGAACAAATCTGTAATAGTTTGATAAATCTTTGAAGGAAAAAAAATGGAATGCCTGATAACACTGAAAATTTCGTAATTGTTCATTGGAATGATGAGAACACTTCACAAATCAACAAAATACCTTAAATCAGATGGTTTGGAGAGACAAATCTTGGAGATTCTACATTTTAATTGTGGACAAAATTTACCTTCAATGCAGTTCAAATCATAGTCGGCCAGCAACGAAAACTTGATTACTATATCCTGTCGGTCGAATTTTGGCTTTTCTTACACTTTTATCACTGATTGAATCGATTTTAGGAGTTAGGGTTCATGAGTTGAATTGGGGCAAATTGGTTTCACGGCTAAGGGTTTATTATTATTATTATTATTATTTATTTTTTATTTTTTCAAGACATGCTTTCCTTCAGTAATTTTTTAAGGCGTGTTGGTGACGTGGAAGCTCATTTGGTGAATAACTTTTTATTTGTAAGGATTTAACCAGCTAGATCATTTTACCGTCATCGATGTAGGCTCATCTGTTAGTGGTTTTAATCGGGTGAGTGACAGAATTGGACGGATCAAAGTTAAGTGGCCGCTGGGACAATTTATGAAGTTCATTGAATAAACCGTGACATGATATAAAATTCGGTGGCCAACGAAACATTTAACTCGTGTATAATTTAATAAAAATGAATTTTTAAGTGAAAAAAATTAAAGAACGGTTTGATTTGGTTTCGTGCAATTTTTGAAAATCGAAAACCTAACCAAACATTCTGGTCCGATTTGAGGGAAAAAGTCGAAGATCCACGTGGATCTGAACTAACTTTAAAAAAGGGTTTCAGTTCAATTGACAGTCTCACAATTTTTTTTTTGTACAGTCCTAACATTACGTTTCCGTAGATTCAGGATCAATTCTTTAAATTTTGGAAAAGTTGTCTTTTTCATCCGTCCAAATTAGTAATAAAAATTTTGCATGCATTGTGCTGCCAACATATTCTGGTGACTCACCCGCGCACACATACGCGAAAGTCCAAGACATAAAGACACGTTGACGATCTAAAACGGACAGATCAAGGGCGTGGAAATAGCTCAACGGTACAGGACGAGAACGTTCGGAATTCGACGAGATGTTCATAGACCGATTGTATAATAATTACCAATCGATGTTTGTAAATGTGTGTATAAAAATGTGTAAATTCATTGCACACTCCAGATTGTAGGAGGACAAAATTGTCCATCCGTTTACGAACCTACTAGTCATTACCATGAAGAGACGTGTTCGTACATATCAAATAAAACTTCCCAAATTATTGGTCAAAAAAAAAAAAAAAACATTTGATACATTTGCACCCTTTCTTTATAGTGTTGAATTCTTTATCCATGGCATGCGAATCCTTCGATGTTTTTGGGGGCGTTGACCACGTTACATTGTGTGTTCTACGAGATTATGACTAAGTTATTTTCTTTTATAGGTATATATTACAACTACTTTAGAAAAATACGAATTCGATAGGTCGCAAACTAGTTAGAACTTTACGGTAAACCATCCAAAATAGATGAGAACTGGAATATTAATTAATTTTCAACTGAGTTCTTTACTCAGTAGTTTGATAGTTCTCGGACAGTAGAAACCATTTCCATTGAACTATTAGACAATAATTAACTCTTAATATTAATCAATAATACCTAAATTTTAAACTTTCAGTACTTGGTAAAACTACAAAACCAAAATGGCTGAAAAAGTCCTCAAAATGACCATAATTCCATCGTAGTTCTTCAACCATTAGCCAAACCCTAAATCAGGTTTCCACACAATGGAGAAAACGACCTTTAGACTTTAGTTTTAAGGCCTTCCAAATCAAATTGCGAAACGCAAAATCACCTTAAATGAAGAAGATAGTTCTTCTCGGGGAGTTCTTGTAAACAAATGACTACCTCGTCATCATCTTTCGCCATCAAAGGCAGGCATGTTGCCAGTGGAAAACCTTGAAAAAACCCACAATTAGGATGATCTTTGATCATTAGATAAAGATGCAAGAACAGATAAGAATTCTTTAGATGGAAAGGATTAGTTGATCAGATAGAATCCATGATCACAGTTTCTACTAACTGCTCATGTATGAATTCTAATGTTTGTACAACCCAAAACAATGGTAATAAATCATGAGCTGGAGACTGGACATGAATAATATTACTTTTCAGATTATACAGTCGATTATACAGTCTAGTATAATCCCATTCACCTTACCAATCGTGCCATTAAAAATCGACTTTCTTACTTTTTGCACTACAGTTTCTATTTTAGTTCATTATGTACTGAGCGGTCACAGCCCATGCTAAAAACCTCCTGCAGCTGCAAGTTCAAATACTCATCTCTTTTGAACTTGATTATATCTGTGCTAAGGGCTTTTGAGCTCGAATCTGTTAAGAGTTTCAATTGCATTTGGATTGAATAAATGAAAATATAAAATATATATCACATCAGCAAAACTTCACGGAAAATATTGCATTAAAATGATATCAGAAATCTAATAATTGTAGCTAGGAGATATAAACTATGAAACAGTTCTGGTGGTAGGGAGCAAACCTATATATGATCATAGGACCCAAGTTTCTAGCTGTAGTTTATCTCCATGCAGTGTTATCTCCCAGCAATTAGCTTTGAATTTAAAAATGGAAAGCTTTTTGGGCAAAACTGCGAATAATAAAAAAAGATTAGACAATTAGTACATACAGACTTGTCACACAGGCAGTAAAGATGCCTCATTTATTTATAACAATCTGCTGTTAATAATTCAAAGATGGGAAGCTGCAACCAATCTCTAGAGACTGCTTATATGCATCCAAAACGATGACAAACAGACCATGAACATGAGAGAATTCGAAATTATCCTGTTGGTTCATATCTTTTTGCCAGGCCACAAAAACAAAATGCCCGTTATCTGCCCTTCGAAAGTTGGGGAGAACAGATAACAAGATTTGGACCTTGTCATGTAAGTTTATATTGCCAAGATGCCTAGAGTTTGTCAAACCAAAACATAAAAATCTAAAACTTAATCACTAAGTCAAAAGAAACAACGATTTCTTCTAGGCCACCGTAAAGAAACAAGAATATATACATGCCAAGTTACTTCACTAACCGCTAAAAGCCTAAAATTTTAAAGGTACAAACACAACATATAGCAGAGAGTCAAGAGACTAAGAAGCACAAACGGTGATGATGCTACAACATATGGTGCATGTTGTGGTAAGCACAAATTTTAAGCACTATACAAGCTCACCCAGACATGCTCATGATATTAGAACTAGGCAATCTTCAGATTCTCAAGACTTTGGAGGATATGATAGATAAGTAAAATACACGGGTAAATAGATAAATTTATATATCAATTTGAAACATGCCAATTGCAGAAATGACAATGTCTTACAATTTGTCAAAACGTAAGTCGTGGAATTAGATAAATATAATCAATGTAATGTATTTTAAATAATATATTACGCATGTAATGTAAACATTTTTCTAGAACCTGTAAAATAATTTCCGCAATCTATGCTTTCATACACAGAAACAAGTTCCCTTGTAATTTAAAAAAAATAATTCGTAACTCAAAAAAGGAACAAAGAGATGATGTTATGCACATTAAGGTTAATGCCTGTGTCCGCATTTCCAAAGGCACCCCTCTCTTTCAAGAGGATTTGCAACATGTAATTGCAAAATTGAATCAATCAATCAAATTCATAACTAAAATATCATGTTGAATCTCATTTACAAAAAAAATAAATAAATAAATAAGGGAGAGAGACAAGAAGAAGAGCTATGCACATGAATTGATTTATTAATTGCAGAACTAAATCAAATTCTAAAATATCGTGATGAATCTCATTTACCCAAAAAAAAAATGGAGAATTTTGCAATAAAATTCTGCCATTTTTCTAAAATCTTAAATTTTTTATCCAACTGTGGTTTCAATGATTCCATGCTTCCTAGATCAAAGACGTCTCTTAAATCATCCAATCTCAAATAAGCAATCTTTTGTCAACGAGTCGAATTAAGTAAAAAGTGTGAGGATGTTGAAAAGTACCAACTGTCTTTTAAAGTAACTAAAATATTACGTAAGAGGAACCTGAAGCTTGTCCATAAACGGTTGCTCATAAAAACCATCATGTACATAGGAAAAATTACCTTGGAAATAGTTACAAGAAAATAAATAAAGCACCATCCAGAAAGACGCATACTATTTACCTTCTCCAAAAGAGAGTAAAATATCTGAAAAGAAAAATAAACAATTGTAATGTAAATAATTCACCTTTGAAATTGAAAACATTACCTCGGAATTTGTTATCTTCAGTAATAATTCCAAATGTTTCTTTAGTTTCCCGTACAATGATGCCACACATTCCGCTGCAGGAAACTATTTTACTTTGAACAACTACAAGTATACACAACTAATCAACGTTATTATTTTAATTGCAAAAAAGCAACATAACGTCCTTTTCGATATAGTAGAACTGGTGAACTGGATTATCAACTAAATGTAAATATAAAGTGATTTTTAACTAACGACAAGCTCCAAGAACTTAATGCAATACTACATTTTAAAAATGTGATTAGAGGGTGTAAACTGCAAGTCTTATGTTGGGGCGAGGATGAATAGTTGTGATTTTATATAAGATGATGAGGATGCAAGATTTTTGTGGAATTTCATTCCATGAAAGCATTAATCTGTTATTGGGGGCTAGCAATTCATAATTGACTTGTGTTCAGAATCTAAATAAACTTTTTTTGGTTACTTTTCCTCAAAAAAACAAAGATAAAACAAAACAAAACAAACGGGAGGAGTAGGAGAAGAAGAAGAAGAAATGATAAAACTTGGAAAGAGCGGGAAATCAACTGGAAGAGGATTTGAAGTCCATTCATCTTTTTCCAAAAACTGTCGTTTGCTATTCTCACTTTTATGAAAGACAAATAATTCAGCCTCAAGTACTATGATGACAACTCAAGATAGTAGCCAGCATGAGGTCCTCTCTTCGCGAATGATAGGTAAGAGAAGTCTTATTCACATTTTTATCAATGAGTAGTATCGAAAGGGATTACTTGAAATAATTTTGGTAGCTATTTAAGTATGAGTGATGTTCTCTAACCTTGAATAACCGCACCAAGTAGGTTGACATTGAGGAGGCACTGAGCTAACTGATTTTCCCTGCAACATCATTCACCCACTTAATGAATACTATAACATGAATGGATAACCATGTAAAAAACACAGATGATGGGAATTTCTACTGACCCTACATTTTTCACTCGTTGCTGGATATACAATTTCAATCTGTTGTGCAGAGGCTTTAATGTTTCGAAGCTGTAAGAAGTGAAAGAAAAGTTACAAGATATTATAGTGCAAAACCATAAATTCATCTGACAATTCGAAGCATATCATTCTCCTTGAATACAAAGAAACAGTATGATTAATCATCATTATACATTGACAAACGAAATACATCTCTTGCATCAGGTTTAAGGTAAAATCTAGAGGGATGAATACATAAACAGATGAACTAGCCATTTGTCAGTGCCTCAACCCTCCTGCTTTATTCTAAAGACAAGTGGTCTACAGCACTGGACATAACAAGAAAACATAGAAAGACAAACCATGGCCTGAAAACGTAACCACTCGACATGTACTGAGCTGTATAAAAATTCAATAAGACAATATATTATACAAAAAAGAAGCAAGTGAATAAATAAGTTGAAAGAAACATGGTGTTTCAGAAACCAACCACAAATTTAAATCACACATTATCCACCAAAGCCAATCAAAGAGGAGATTCTCTACCACCATACTTGAGTTCAGTCCAAAGTTTGATAAATCACTGCGGAAAGGAAGAGGGAGAGGGAGAGGGAGAGGGAGAGGGAAAGGGGAATAAGTCAACTGGAAACCATCTCTTCAGCCAGTCTGATCAAGAATGTAGTATTTACAACTACACAACAATGTTCAACTTTGCAGGGGCATAACAGTAATTACATACCTAGAGGTAATGTCTTTAGTTTCAATTACATGCATCACAAGACCCTAACACAATAAATTCCAGACCCTAGCTACTTTCTCCTGAAATGCCATATTGTGTTTAAATTATGTCTCTATAATTTTTCATAGTCTTGATGAGCATCATATGCAAATGACTGACCCTTAAAGGTAGGAAGTTCAATAACAATTAATAGGAGCAAGAAACATCACAAATACATTTTAAATCAATTCTGAATTGTAGCAAAATTGACATAATACAAGGGAGAAAACATTTTCTCGACACATATAACGAGTCTAATAATATCTGAAAGGAAATATGACTCACCCTCACACGAATAACATTCAACCACTACTCTACAAGGAAAAATATGAAGACAGTAAGTTAATTAAGCAACTAAATGGTTAAAAGGGACCATGTCATACCTGCAGGATTCGTGAGGTAAATTAAAGGATCCACATTTTTTAAGTTGCTTTAGAGACATGTGCTTTTTAGATCGCTTTGAGCGGCTCTGTAAAGCCTGAATTCGTGTTCTAGAGCTACCACTTTTAGGTACAAAATTATCAAGAAGGATGAAATTGTAAATTTTCATGCTTTTGGATCCCTGCATGTACTTCTGAGTTGAATCACCATGTTGAAAAAGCTGATGCAAAATACAATCAACTGCAGTTTTTCTATTTGAAATCTGCATTTTTTAAGCAAATTCAGAAAAAAATAACTGTTAAATACGAATTTCTAGGAAATAATAATAAAACATACAGCTCATCTGGCTACAAAGAGTGACCTCAACACCCATTGGCAGCAAATTTTCATGGACAGGATAAGAAAGCTCCAAGTATGCTGGCTTACTTGCTTTTATATCTGTAAATTATGGTAGCCAACTGTTTTAACCCTAAGATAATGTTTCTAGATACACCTAAAGATAAATATCCCTGCACAAACAGAAATAGCAATAACTAAGAACAACAATAATACCCTTTGCAATAGTATGGCCCCTGAAAGAAATATTGCCTGAAAAAAATAATTAAGGAGAACAACAATTAGATGTGCAGAAGATATCAGTGAACCTAACTTGAACTTATCACCTATGACGCATCGACACAAATATGTGTCTGACATGTATACGTCGGCACGGGATTTTTAAAAAAGTATTTACAGGACACATTGTCGACACGTTGATTAAATTCTTTAAAATTCTTTATTTATATATTATAAATATAGTTTTATACTTGTTATTAATTTTTCTTGTTAAAATCTTTTAAATATGAGTATCTATTTGTTATTTACTAATAACTTTGAGTTATATATTTAGTAAAAAAGAAAAGTAATTATGGATTCGAATAGTGTCAGTATCGACACATGTAGGATATGGACACGTTATCCTAGTTGAAGTGTCAGTGCTACAGAGCTTATCACCTATAAAGATATTTGGAGGCCTAACAGTATCATTCAAGCAAGGTACATCAGATCCTAAATTAATAGGTTTTTATTCGAAAATAGTAATATTCCAGGCCCACAATGAAGTAAAAATAAATGACAAAAAAAAAAAAAAATATCAAGAAGGAAGGAAAATATATGATTTTCGAACTATTGCTATAAGGTCTTCACATTATGCCATCGTCCTTTCCATTTCAAAAACAAAAAGCACCTCCTCTATATGAGAATCCACATAAGAGTTCAGGTTCAAAATTCCACAAATACACAAATCTAGAAACCATCACCATACACCCCAAAATGATAAAATAGAGAATTGATCAGGAAATTTGGAAAGATCTTCACTTTTTTAATATATTTTATTTCTTATGGACAATAGCTATTCATTTCTTCCTAACATAATTAAATATATTATATAAAGAAAAGTAATTTCTCGTACAATGGTTTAGATTGTGTGCAGTTGTGAATGACAATAATGACATGTGACTCAAACATGGAGGAATTTTGAGCTCATCTTTTCTAATCTCTCTAATTGTTTTCAAATTTAAAATGACCTACATTGAAACACTCCACTGGGGCTGGGATCAGTTTCATTTATAAAGATAAATATTTTCAACTTTCAAATTTCATCTTGTCCAAAATCAAAGATTAGCTTGTGCAATCTATTTTTATGGTCGTTTAATGATCCTGGATGCACGCTACACTTCTGTTGACCAGATTGAAGTACTTCAATAGACTGGAAAAAAAATTATAGCTAGTACATATTTTTTGAAGAACATCATTACTTTTCATCAATGTAGGTCTAATTTTTTTTGCTATTTATCATATCCTGATTTAACAAATTTAAATAGCGATGCACAAGAAAATTCCCACACCACTGAAAACAAAAAATGTTGAACAACATTATTTACAATTTTTATTGCATATAAGTAAACCTTTTTCTAAAAGAGGCAGCGGAACATGGCTTGTTTACAGCCGATAATGGTCTAGTATTAGAAGTGGCCTTCCCTGTGTCTTCAATTGGCCTTTTCTTGCTCTTCTATTGCTTTATATGAAGCTCTGCCTCTGCTTGTGCAAACCTTCATTCTAGTGCTTCCAGCGTTCGTTTCCTCTTGTCATCCATGATTGCTGTACTCACTATCCTGCATCAATTCGATAGCATAAGTAGTACCGTGCTAGCAAAACAAAGAAACAAGTCAGTATATATACAACAAGATAGAACAATGTCGGACTCATTGGGTTATCAATTTTACACACGCACAGAGAGAGCAGAGGACGGGGGTTTGGAAGGTGGATTGCATTTAAGTTCTACACATGACTAGGAATAATACAATTATTTGAGGAATTGATAATTTATAAAGATGTTTAAAACACGTCACCAAAACTTAGAAAATCATAGACGCTACAACTTCAATACATAAGGATTATACATCTTTAAATGTGTTTTTACGAAAGTAATGCATATATCTCAACCTCAGCATAGCCCCAATCCACCTGAAGTGCCGTCGAGAAAACAATCAGCTCTTTTGATGAATTATATAGAAAATAGTAAACTACCTGAATTATATAGAAAATAGTAAATTACCTGTTTGTTGTTGGCTTGTTGCTAGTACATCGGTTGTTGCAGAGTTTCGAGCAGATGAGTTTACCGTTTTCCTTCTGCATTTGTAATTGCTAGGTTTTATAGCGTTAGGTGTTGGGCTGTATCTAATAAAGCCCAAAATAGGTGCACAGCTATGGATCTATATAGATGGACCTTAAATCTTGGGCGTTAAGACTTCTCTTTGCAGCCGGGCTCTCTGCGATTTCCGTAGAAATGCACCGAGTAACTTTCTTAGTTTTAGCCCCGTTTGGCTTTCATTATTGTCAAATTTTAATGGTTGAAATAGTATTTTTTTGAAAAATATGTGGTTAAAAAAAAATTTAAAAAAATTATTTACATGTAATATTATTTTATGAAAAATTGTGTAATTGAAAATAAGAGAGAGAGAGAAATAATGAGAATGGAGGCCAAACTGAGGCTTAATTTTGTGCAAAGTCAATGCATCAAAGATGTCTTTAAGTTTAAGTGGAAATGATAGAGAATAAGATTTTTTAAGTTACTATTTCAAAAATTCGACTTAAAGTTCGTTTATAAAAAAAATCAAATAATAATTCAATATTAATAATAATATTATAAAATTAGATTAATCTATATACTCACCTGACCTCCATCCACCTCATCAAATTTCGTTCTCAAACCCTATATCATTTTTCATTCTTTTCTTCCAATCTTCTCTCTACTCTCTCCCCCTTCTCTGTCACCGCTCTCTCCAGATGTGGCATTGCTAATTTGAAAATGGTGAATGACGCTTTCCAAAATAATAGCAGCGCTTTCAGATCTGAAAATGGAAGTAGTGCTTTCAAATCCAATGCCGCAATGAGGCGCTAATATGCACATCGTTGTACGGTGTTCGTAACAGTGATCGTCGTGATTTTAGGGGTAGTTGATCTGAAAATGGAAGCGACACTCGGTGTTCACAGCTACGAGATACGAATTTGTGCAGTGCTCACTACGATGGTGGCAGCGATGTTGGTGATGCTAGACGGTGGTGGTGTGGTCAAGGCGGTGGTTAGAGGTAGGATGAGGTGGGGGCATTTGTAATCAATTATTTAGTTAATTGTGATCAATAAATTAATTTATTTGTGACCAATAAATAATATGTGACATAAAAAATGTGAACTCAGAACTTATTTTTGTGATAGAGAAATAACTTGTAACAAATTCATTTGATAATTTGTGACCGTCAAATAAATTATAACTTACAAATTTTGTGATTTATGATCCATAATCTTTGATCAATAAATAATGTGACCTGAAAATTTGAGTTGTAACTTATAAGATTTGTAATTTGTGATCGATAAATAAATTATGAACTATAAATTTTTGGATTTGTAATCAATAATATTGACTTATAAAATTTTTGATTTGTGATGGTTAAATAATTTGTGACCTATACAATTTTTTATTCGTGATCAAAAAGTAATTTATGACCAAATAATGTATAATTGTGACCTCAATATATTTAATTAATAAAATATTCAATTAATAAAATATACATTTAATTAATAAAATACATTTTTAATTATTTCATATACAAAATTCAATTAATATTTGATTTTTGAAGTTTTAAATATTTCTTCTTAATTTTGAAATGGGCCATACTTTATCTATTAAATATAAAAAAATTTCCACGATTAAATTGGTATGATAAGAAGCATGTGAAACTTTTAATAGGGATGACAGGTCCGATCAGAATAAGAAAAAGAAGGCAGTCGACCACAAGCCGACCGCTAGGCAAGAGGGACCAATACAAAAGTAAATCATTTTTTGTGTATCCTATTACACTTTTCTACGTTCAGAAAAGGTAACATGTCACTTGCGTTGCGAATGATTCATTGTACCCAAGGATGAAAGAAGGTAAAAAGATTTAGCCCCCGCTTGGTGATCTTTATTTTATTTTAATTTATTTCTCATACTCATTTCAACTATACAATCCCACAATAAAATGTTCTACGCATAAATTCAAAATCTTTTCTTATTTTTTACATGTACATTCTCCAAAAAATACTATTCAAAACATGCTTATTAAATTTTAAGGCCACCAAATAGGGGCTTAATTGAAAATAAATTTAATTAACACTATCAACTTTCGTTCACTATAGTGGCATGATTTTTGTAGAACAAGATATGACACGTAAACTCTTCGTTGGCACATTGTGCTATAGTCGTTTTATATCCTCTCGTAGATTTTTGTATTGTGTAAGCTATTCTAAATTAGTGAATTTATGATTTATTGCTGCCTATTGCCCGTTAGCCAGGTCAATAAATAATATTGGCATGTTTGGATGCTCGATCTGACATACATAAAAAAGAAAAAGAAAAAGAAATCAAATTTTCATGGTCAATTAAGACAATAAGTTAGAGACACACAATCACCAATAATAATTCACAATATGAAAATCTTAACAGCTGAGAGAAAGAATAAGAAACAGCTTTATAGCAAGAATCACTCGAGAGACTAATTGAAATCAACCCAAACCAAGCCCACAGAGCAAATAAACAAATAAATTTAAGTGGAACTTCACAAAGGAAACTGATCCTTTCAATATTTTCCTTTATTTTTTTCTCTACCACTTAACTCAGTCAGCTTATGGGATCTGCTGAATTTAGAACGGTGGGAGATAATCAATTGATCACTCCATTCGCATCACTGTCAGCGATGGAAGAGTTGTCCACCTTTGGCGGGGCTGAATACCGCCTAGGTCTGGCCGGTGAAGGTGGGAAAGAAAGGCGCTTCTTTGCAGAACCCGGTGGTCCCTTTTCTGGCGTTCCATTTTCTGTTCCTAATGGACTTGACAACCTCGATTTGGCCTTTGCCGACTTAGTAGATGCCATGTAACTAGGCACTGATGGAGAGCTCGCCAAGCTTTCATCGTCTCTCATGGACCCTGCAATGCTGTGCCTCCTGTTCCTCTCTGACTGCATACTGAACATACTCCTCGTGTCATCATCTTGACTAATTGCGCTCAATCTTGGGCTTGCCGGCTTCAATTTTCTGGCGGCTACTGAAGAAGCCGGCTTTGAAGGGGTAGTTGCGGGGGACTGATGGCTTGAAGGATGATGGGGCTTTTGACCGACCGGTGAAGATGGATTATCGGAGTTTAGCTGATGACGAGCAAAAGACTTGGTTATTTCTCCTCCTATGCTTGCGCTTTTGACAGATAAGCGGTCGCTGTTAAGTTCTTTCTCAGCCGTGCTTTGGGACTCCCATGGCTGGGCAGCCATCCATCTTTCTAACCAGCTCCAACCCCAGTGAGGATTAGTTGGATCCATAAATAGTAAGTTTGGAGATCTTGAGGACTTCTTCCAGGTTTGCTGTCAAGTTGAAAAGTTCATATTAAAACCAAAATCCGACATTTCTTACCCTACCGAACATTTATTTTACAATACCTGCAGGCCGGAATCGACACATTTGGGCAAGTTCTGATGCTAACCAAGTAACAAGACACTAGATTATGGTAGGTGCTATTAGCCAAGTAAAAGGTATATGCTTATTCTTCTAAATGACAAGACAATACTTCAAAGTAAGCAATGTACCAAGAAAAATGTGAGATCTTCCACTATGAGCATCACAGATTTCACTTTTTTGTAATACATCAATGCTAAACAATTTTAGAAACAGTAAGATCTTAGCAATCTACATAAAGAACATGGAAAGTTCACACGAGAAATAATTTCTTTTAGATTTTTCAAGTTCTTGCGCATAATATACTAAAAAGCTTTCCTGCAAGACCCTTTATTCTTATACCTTTATATGTGCACACAGATATTCATTTTCCTTCTTTTCTCGATAAGGCTGGAAATATGTTAAGTAGAAGTACCTGATGAGTGTATGAATAAGCTAGTGCTTTTTCTCGTCTCATGGCAGCCTCATACTTTTGCAGCAAACTTGCCTCTATTTGCTCTTTAGATTGTAGACTATCATCCCATTCCTCTCCAATCTGCAGTAACATTTGGATATTATATCTAGGAACTTCATCGAAATGCAAGGATGGTTAAGTAAGTTTAATCATCAGGGGATATGCTTGTTTTCTGAAGTTGACTATATTCAATATCAAAATATGAAAAGATTTTCTGACCCTAAGCTTCTAATCTTTGTAGCACGGACACTTCAATTAACAAATTGGCACTCATATTTAAACGATTTAAAAAAGAAAAAATAATAAAAAATATAAACTATATTTATACTATATAAATGAAGAATTTTAAAAAATTTAATCAACATGTAGACGAAATGTCGTGTCGGTACTTTTTTGAAAAATCGCGTGTCGACATATTCGACACGTATCGTATCGGACACACATGTCTGTATCAATGCATCATAGCTTCTAATAACAATTTTGCCACTATTTGTCTGGAGGAAACCTTCAGCAAGCTTTCATTTGCACAGTGTAAAACATACACCAAGAAATATGAAGTAGACTATAAAACAGTTTAGCTACTGAAATGGTCAATTGTTTTGTGCAACAAGGAATTCAAATTAAAACCAAACAAGAGAAAACAAGAAGAAGAAACTAAGATTTATACACCACAAAATAAAGGATACTTGCAATATAAATTTAAAACAAACCAATGACATCACACCTGATGACATCAGCCTGCAGCAAGATTTTCTTTTCTTCCTTTTTTCCTCCATAAAATCTATTCGAGAAAAATATGCTTCAATCGATGGAGTGGAATTAAAGTAGTTCTTGTAGTACAGATGCATTAAAGTCATTCTAACAGCATTGATAACCATATTTGGCTAAGTTTATCAAGGTTAAGTTGTTTTTACATAACTTCTTGTCTAAACTTGTTTAGATAACTCACTTTTCCTTACTTCGAAGTAAAACAAATAAAAGTTCCACTTTTTTGAACTCTTACGTCACAATTAAGCCTATGTTTGGCAAAATCTATAAATCATTTATAAATTAAAAAAACTTTGAAGGTGTTTGACAACGATTTTTATGTAAAAATGCATTTTGGAATGGTAAATTGATAGAAAATGTGTGGTTGAAAAATAAGGAAATATTTTTTATTTACGTTTAATATTATTTTAATGAAGAATGTGTGGTTGAAAAGAAGAGAGATAAAAATGCATTTTGAAAAAAATGGGTACGAAACGGGACATTTATGTCAACCATACATTCTAATGGACCCGCAAGTACTATCCATTTATTCACCCACTCATATATATCTATTTATAAATTCTTCCCAAACAGAGGCTAAATTTCATAACTTATTTTCAACTTTCAACAAGTAATTCTAAGTAAACTTTTCAAGATAGCAAATATGTTCATAATTATTTTATAGATTTGAGTAAAGATAATGGTGCTAATAAAAGAACCAACCCTCAAGCTTTCGAGTTCTTTTGCTCGTTTCTGTAGAAGTTGTCTCTGGAGTGCTCGGTTTTCCTCTGACATCTTGAGCCTTCTCAACTGAATCTGGGAATGCACACGGGATAGAGTCTGCATGCATTTCAGAGTGTTTGCAGTTTGCCGTTTGACAGTTGGACCATCAACAAGTGATTTTAGTCTGACAAGTCCTCTCAACGCCCGCAATGCTCTCCTTGCCTGAGTTTAAGAGGCGACAATGGTAAACCAGCACTTCATTTCCCTCCATAACGAGATTTGTATTCGATAATAAAAAAGAAAATCAAAATGCAAAAATTTGAAGCAAATAAGACAGAACAACCAACACTTTTTTACTAGTATGGCTAATTATTACAAGCGAGACATATCTACAAGTTAGAAATGTCTGAAATGAAAGATAATATACACGAATTTCAGGAAAAAAATGCATCTATATGGCATGGTGTTGCCGCTGAATTTTGTGATTGGAAAAACAAAAATAATGGACAGCTGAAGCTTTAATAGATATTTAGCCAAAATTCTTGATATTAATAAATGTGATGGTTTTTGGCACATCGTACTTTTTGTGGCTGTGCCTCAAAGCATCATAGCCATATTGCCGAATTTTTGTGTTGAGTAGGTGGACCTTAACAAATACTTGGACTAAACTCTCAATGGTGATAACAATAGTTTTTAGCCAATTTTCATCCATTACAAGAGCTTTTATTTGAGTTTTTGTTCCATTCCTTAATTTTGACCCGAAATTTTCTTTGAATCTTCCTCTGTAAATATCCTCATCTGGTTAAACTTTTGACCACATTTCCAACAATTCATTACAATCTTAAAGTGTTCAGCGATGTTATTCTATAATATTTGCTTAACTTTAGAATTGTGCGTGAGTTAACATGCAATATTATGCATCTGAGAATGGTAATAGTAACAAGTTGACAACCACAAGCCAAACCTAAGTGCCAATAAAACTAGAGTTAGGCTTCATGAATCATTTTTAGCCACTCCGTTCAGTCTTAGCACTTCATTTTCTGAATGATCAATGCTATCAAATCTTTTGCAATCATACTCGGCTATGTTAATTTGGTCTGGAATTAATTGCTCTTGTAAATGAGTCTCTTTAGATTTAGATGCACGTTTCTGTCCCTCCATTTAATCGATTACTTCTAACCTGTCTTTTTCCACCAAGAAAAATGTTTATGAATGTCTTGTCAAGTTCACTATAAGGAAGAAGAAATATAAACATTCATATAGTACCGTACCAGGTGACCTCGGAATGCAGTCTGGATTTTAATTGCTGCCACTTCCTCCTTTGGTTTTCCTGTCAATTGGGTCACTGCAGTCAATCGAACTACCTCTGCTGCAGCCTGTGCAGCAGCTACAGCAGCCTCAGCTGCTGCTGCAGTAGCAACTGCTACAGAATAAGCATGTTTTGTCTGCTCATTCTCTGCTTCCGTCAACTTCACATCTTCCTCATCTTCCAAAGGAGGAAGCGAGTGCGGATTAGATACTTGGATAGTATCTGGATTTGGCGTACCTGAAACTGATGGCTTATCTTCGTCGACCCACTTCTTCTTTGATTTACTTGCTTTCTGAAATTATATACCAAATTATTAAAACCCATAAAACCAATATCATTAAACAATAGCGAACAATACAACAGCGTGTTTAAAATATACAATTTCAAAATTAAGAAATAGGTTCTAAAATTTCAAAAATCAGGTTATAATTAAAATTTATTAATTAAATAGACAATTAAAAATGTTTTATTAATTAAATATATTAACGCCACAATATTCCAGTTTATGATCACAATTATGTACTAATCATAATTACATAACGTCATAGTCACAAATTTTATAAGTCAAAATTTATTTATCGGTCTCAAATTCTCATATTAATAAGTCATGTAGAATTTCTCAATCACAAATTTTATACGTCACAACTTATTTATCGATAACAAATTATCAAATTAATAGGTCGCATATTATTTCTCGATCACAAATCGCAAATTTTGTCAGAACTCATTTCACGGCCACAACTTATCATATTAATTGGTCACAAGTTATTTTTTGATCATAAATTATCAAATTAATTGATCACAACTATCGATTTTATTGATCACATATTATTATTGGTCACAAATTAACCATTTTATAGGTCATAAACGCTCTTCATCACATCCTATCCTACCAACCCCCAACTCATACCCAACTGAATCGTTGCTCCACTATCGCTGCCAACACCAACACCATCACCACCACCACCACCTGCACCACCGGTACTACAATCACCATTTGCAAAACACCAACATCCACTCCACAACCACCTGCACCACTACTACTAACAACCACCATTTGCAAATTGAAAACAAGCAAATCAGCAACCGACCAAGCAGATCAAATAGGAGGAGGAAGAAATCACCCCAAAAAACCTCCAAACCCCTCCCTAATTTTTCTATGCGGTGCCGCATTTGGCCACAAGAGAATCGAGCTACAACAGCGTCTGCGCCTCGACTCTACTGACTGACAATGAATGACGGCTGATAGGAAAGATTGATCAATCAGATATTGAAAATACGGCTTCTGAAGAGCCACAAGTGTCCGAAAATATTGAGATTTCAATAATTTATATGTTATCCCATAAATTATGGGAACGAAATAATGTTGTTATAGACAATATTTTTGTCTTTAATGTGGCTCTTGATATTATACAGAATAAGGATCCTGAACCACAGTCGGTTAAAAACTGTCAAAATAGAAATGATTGGCCAAAATAGAAAGAAGCCATACAGGCAGAATTGAATTCTTTGGAGAAACGAAAAGTGTTTGGACCTGTTGTTCGAACACCTGAAAATGTAATCCCTATTGGATACAAATGGATCTTTGTACGAAAGAGAAATGAAAATAATGAAATCACAAGGTACAAAACCCGACCAGTAGCTCAAGGTTTCTCACAAAGATCGAAAATTGATTATGAGGAAACATATTCTCCCGTAATGGACACCATCACTTTTATATTCTTAATTAGTTTGACAATATCACAAAAGCTTGATATGTGCCTTATGGATGTAGTAACTGCATATTTGTATGATTAACTTGATAGTGACATATGTATGAAAGTCCCCGAAGGACTTAAGATACCAGGAACAAACGATATGTGTTCGAGAACTATGTTCTCAATTAAATTGCAAAGATCATTATATGGATTAAAACAATCCGAACGCATGTGGTATAATCGCCTTAACGAATATTTGTTAAATAAAGGTTATAAAAATCACGATATCCGCCTATGTGTTTTTATAAAGAAAACAAATAGTGGATTTGCAATCGTAACAGTTTATGTTGATGATTTAAATTTAATTGGAACTCCTGAAGAACTCAACAAAATTGCTGATTATTTGAAAAATGAATTTGAGATGAAGATTTGGGGAAAACCAAATTTTGTCTTGGATTGCAAATTGAACATTTCGCAGATGGATTATTTTTTCACCAATCTACGTATACAGAAAACTTTTAAAACATTTTTACATAGATAATGCACGTCCATTGGCATCACCTATAGTTGTTTGATCACTTGATGTGAAAAAAGATCCATTTCGTCCATTTGAAGATGGAGAAAAAGTTCTTGGTCCTAAAGTACCATATCTTAGTACAATTGGAGCATTAACTTATTTTGTAAATTGCACTCGCCTTGACATAATTTTTTCTGTAAATCTCCTTGCAAGATATAACTCTACACCAACTCAAAGACATTGAAATGTTGTTAAACATATTTTTCGTTACCTAAAGGGTACTATTAATTTGGGATTATTTATTTTCAAAAGTAGGAATCTGCTTTAATGGGATATGCAGATGTAGGTTATCTATCCGACCCACATAAAGCTAAATCACAAACACGTTATGTGTTTACACGTGGAGGAACGGCTATATCATAGAGATCTGTGAAGAAATCCTTGACAGCTACATCTTCAAATCATTTTGAAATTATTACATTCCATGAAGCAGGCCTAGAATGTGTATGGTTGAAAAACATGACCCATCGTATCCAAGCATCATGTGGATTAATTTCAACAAAGAATAGTCCAACAATTTTGAATGAAGACAGTGTAGCTTGTATTGCACAATTCAGAGGAGGCTATATCAAAGGCGATAGGACAAAACATATTTCTCCAAAATTCTTTCATACACATGAGCTTCAAAAGAATGACGATATCGATATCCAACAAATTCGCTCAAGTGACAATGTGGCCGATTTATTCACAAAAGCACTGCCAACATCTACATTCAATAAATTAGTTCATGAGATTGAAATGCGTCAACTCAAAGATTTTCAGTGATCAACATTAGGGGGAGTAGCTGTACTCTTTTTCCTTAGCTTAGGTTTTGTCCCACTGGATTTTCCTAGCAAGGTTTTAATGAGGCAGCATTTATTTTTAGTACTTCAAAATAACTGTACTCTTTTTCCTTGTTTGATTTTTTCCCATTGAATTTTTATCAAACAAGATTTTAACGAGGCAGTTATTGTACAAATAATCATCAAAGGGAAGTGTTGTAAAACAATGAGATAATTATTGACGATTATTTAGTATTATCATGATACATGGATAAGTCTTATCTATAGTTTAGAAGATCTATTTTATTCTAATTGTTACTCTTATTTTGGACCCTATAAATATAGGACATTGGTTCATAATAATACACAATTGAGTTTTAATTCTTTATTTCTTCCCTTATTCTCTCTCTTCCCTTTAATAATACACATTGGTTCATAATAATACACAATTTTACTCTCATTTTAGACCCTATAAATATAGGACATTGGTTCATAATAATACACAATTGAGTTTTAACTCTTTATTTCTTCTCTTATTTTCTCTCCACCCTTTAATTTTATAACAAAATCCTATTTTTGCAGTTGAAAATTTAAATGTAGGGGTGGGTGTAATTACCACTTAAACAATTATGGCATGTTCGACAGTAAGATTTGACGATACTGAATAATACTAAGGAAGAAGAAAAAAACATTTTAAATCTTGATCATTGTACCGTCCAATTTAATACTATGCATCAAATATGCACTTAAATTATAGCCAGGGGAACTATGCGGTGATTCGAACAAACCTGGGCTCTCTTTTCCTTGGAATTTGGGGTAAGAGCCTTCTTTACTGAGGAAAACCAGCTTCCTTTCCTCCCCATTTCTATATCATTACTCAGTTTGTCCTATCCGAAGACAAAACAGTATATTTACCATGAGCACTAGCCATAAATAGACATATAAATATGCTAAGATATATTTTAAAATTAACCACAAACCACAGTAAATTGTAATTCAATTCTCATATCTCCAAACAAATGTCACGTGAAACTAACAAAATCTTTGAACTACCACTTTTAATCATGATCCCTTCATGAAAAATTTATTTAAATCCAACAAATTACATTCAAATTTAAAACCAAACGAAGAAATACAAAAAATTAAACTAAACATTCAACAAATTACCTGAAAAAATGGAACTTTATCAGATCTCCTGGATGTTTCTATACTGATTATTCGCAGTTTCAAATTAAGTCTTTCTGTTAAAATACGGAGGCAGACAAGTTGGCCCCCTCTATCTTTTCTTGATGACCATATTTTGAGGTGCGTCCGGCTGTGTGAGAGAAGTAGAAATGTAGAGAGAGAAAGATAATGCAAAACCAGATCTGCAAGAACAATTCAACGATAGAGAACATGACGAGCAAGGGTAAAAGCTGGAATTGTAAGTGTGGGCCCGACCTTTTGCGCAGCCCCGTGTGGATCCCACTTAATTATCAGCGCTCATGCACTTAATCCGATTTTATTTAAGAATAATTGCAGCAGCGGTCCCAAATCGTTCATTTTCTGTTGATTATACCTTAACCTTTTATTTTTACTGTCGCAGTACAAAACCGTTCATTTTAAAGACACTTGTAGTCCATTGGACAGATTCATCCAATACTTTCGTTAATCAACCCTTAAATAAAATTTTTGACACCACTTGACAAATTAAATAGAGGTAAAATGGTATATTTACAATTTCTATAATAAAATAATTAAATAAAAAATTAAAAAAACTGTTCATCCTCTCCAAAAGGCTACCACTTCCATCCTTACCACCCACGCTTCCCTAAGATGCAATCTTTCCGTGCCTAAAGCCACAACACCTCCTTGAATCATCATCTCGAAAATAAACTTCTTGTTAAAAGTCACTGCATTTAGCTGGTGTCTTTCACATGGCTTTATCGCCAACCCTTTTTGGCATCACTCCTCAACTGAATCTCTAGATTCTGGTGCAACCAATATTTCTCACAATCATGATATTTTTACAATTAGTTTTCAATTATTATTCCCCAATTTATATAGGATATAGTCAATTATGACAGCCTAGTCATCTTTTTACACAAAAATGTCAAATCTACTAAATTGTACACCGTTTAACTCTATATAACAATCGATTCTCCAAAGATCAAGCCCAACAAGAATTGATAGTTTAAATTTATCAAAACTCAACCCAAAATGAAGATTTATGGGTTAATCCCTGACTATCCACAGTGCAAGATTTGGTTTAAAGGAGAAAAATGGAAGAAATAAAAAAAAGAAACGGAAAATGCAAAACGATAATTTTTTGGAATCCAAACCTGAAATGTTGATGTAGAGTAATGCAAAATGCAAACTAGTATACTATAACTGGGTTTTCAGTCTCGATTGTGTTGAATTTACCCAAAAAAATAATAATAATAAAAATAAATAAATAAATAAATCAACTAAGGTTGACCCAAATGTGGGGCCTAGAAAGATAATTTTCCTATTCACATTTTTTATACAATTTATCGTTGGATGAATTGACATTTATCTTTGTATTTTTTGAGATCTGGGTAAGCAATGGGCTTGTGGATGTGTGGTGGCGACGACAAGAATTGAATTTCCTGATTTATAGTTTTAGGGAAGGATAAGGGATGGGTCAATTGTTTTTTTATAGAAATTGTTAAATATATCATTTTACCACTCATTTAATTTGTCAAATTGAGTCATAAATTTTATTCAAAATTAACTAATAGAATATTGGATGTAATCTATCCAATGGACTAAAACTGCCATTAAAGTGAAAGGTTTGGGACCGCGATTGTGAAAATAAAAGGTTAAGATTGGTTCGCGAGAAAATTGAAAGGTTTGGGCATTATCCCTTTTATTTATTACCTAACTCAGAAATTGCACCATAAACTTGCAAACTATTTGCCTATTACCATGTTAGTTCTCAGTCTTTAAACAAGAACTAGTTGGTCATAAGTCATTTATTCCAGTTGCATAATCTATTCACCACAATGGAACTGAGCAAATCTTCTTAAATCATAATGTGCCACTCTGGTATCCAATTTTGTAAAGAAATACTTTATTTATCAATTTGAATTGATGTCTAAAACTTCAAAACAGCGTAAAATCGAGATTAATAAATCAATGGGAGGCTTATATTTTTTTAAAGAGGACTTTGAAGATAGTCTCAACTATTATAATTAGACGAACTTCAATTGACTTCAAATTAATTTAACGAAAACGAAATATAGTTATTATATTTATTTTAGTAGTCATCTGACTAACTATTTTGAGTCCACTATTTAAAGGTTTTTCATTTCGACATATGAGTTGTATAATTGATTACAAGATTTTCTAAAATATACCAAGAACATACCCGATGATCTAGAAATATAGCCCCAAAAAAAAAAAAAAAATCGAAAGTGATGATGATCGTGAATTAAATTTATTAAAACTCATTCTGTGCAACAATTTTACAATTTGAAAAGTTTGTTACATCGCAAGTAACTCGAGATTGTATTGAGAAACTTTCCTAGTGTGAGTATTGAAATCCATAATTGACCTACAAACTAGCTATTTAAAATGAGCTAATTGCAATTTCTTTTCTAATTTTTTTAGGGTTAGATTGGTTTGAGATCGCCCTGTCCACCCCTTGTATATGCCATTGATCTAAAGTTTGACATTTTTTTCATTGATGATACGTGACAATCTAAAGTAGATTTGAATGATTTCTATCGTTGTGGATTTGTGTAAGTATATTGAAATGTTGAAAATTAACTTATTTCTTTTAAAGTAGAAGGACTAAATTGCAAAATGGCAATATATTAGGACCAATCATGTAACTTCTTGTAATTATTAAACGGTAGCACATTAATATGGGTCTTGAATAATAAAGTACGGTCTCCCCCACGCCCACCAAACCAAAAAAGTAAACAATTATAAATTCATAAATATTATTCACGTTTGCTCTGAGTGAGAGGAAAATGTCATATTTATTGTTTACCAGTTTACCAAATTAGCATAAATTAAGTAGTTTAGTAGACACTTTGATGTAGATTTTTATATCTATCTATATAATCCTTGAATTAATTTAATTTTGAAGTGTCAAAACTAGGTTATTCATTTAAATGAAATTAATACCAATATTCATTCTTATTACTTTATTAGGGCTTGTTTGAACCCCATTTTTATCCAAAAACCAAAAAAAAAAAAAAAAGCATTTTGAATAGTGTTTTGATGGAAAATGTATGGTTAAACAATAAAGAAGATTTTTGAATTTGCGTATAATATAAATTTATTAAAGAATGTGTTGCTGAAATTGAGTCAAAATACTATTCAAGAATACATTTTTTCCCCCAAAAAATGAGGCTGAAACAAGGCTAGAATTTGTAAATACTTGGGAGACCTAACGATTAGGTGATGATGGAAAATAACTCATCTAAGTTACCTGTCTCGACTAATTCAAAAACAACATGTTGCAATAAAGACATTCTCCCTCCATCCCATTTATATAGGCTTACTTTTCTTATTTTTTTGTCCCAATTATATAGTAATTTTTCCTTATTAAGAATGTTTTGCTTTCTTCATTTACTAATATACATTTATTTAATTTGTCTAGTTATAACCAATTTTTCACTTAAAATTGTACAATGTAAATAAGTGTAGATTAGGAAAATTTTGACAAAAATACTTTTTCAATAATATTAAATAAGATTTATTAATCCGTGCGAAAAATAAAATCAGCCTATATAAATGGGACGGAGGAAGTGCATGTCTTAAATTAACTTCTTCATATTAGACCATAACGGTAAGTATTATAAAATAAAAAATGAGAAGTGATCTATTTCTATTAAGCAATACACTGAGCTCATTTTAAATATCAAAGATATAACACATCAATCTATTTGGGGATAAATTCATGACGGATCTCAAGATTTAAACTAAATTGATTAATAATTAATGAATTTATATGACATGTCACACGTGCTTAACATAAGTTACACACCAATACTTGGACGATAATTTCTCATAAAAAAATTGTACAATTAGTCTTTAAGGTATTATTTCATTAGCAAGTCAAAGCTTTGACTTTTATTAATTCTTAATAACAGAAACCGAATATTTATGAAGCCTCGATTTTGCAATGTTCAAAATCAAATTTTTAATATATTTTGATAAAAGTTGATAAAATATTGGTCAAAAATTTGATAAAATTTATGGATCCCATAAAATGCGTGATTAAAAATGAATTTGAGAAAAAATGAGAATGCCAATGGCTAAATTATGATGTGACTTGTACTATAAAACTAAATAAAGCTAAATTTTGCTGGTGTTTGAAACTTTAAAGCATGATATGTTTCTATGGTGCCACCTTCGACAGTATCTAAAACTATCGCCATTGATGATTCCTTCACTCATGATTATTATGTCTATTTTTGTAGCACAAAATTCTAAATTATCTTATACTTCAAACATTTTAGTCTTAAGGTGGCGAGTTCTCAAAAATTGCGCACCTAATTGTGATTGATGTATGTTATCCCACGACAAGTATTGATTAGATCCCAATGGACATGGCGGGAAAGCCTAGCAAAATGGATATCTTCTACTAGGCTAAAATTGACAGCTTCAGTAATTGATTGATCGTGCAATTATAATGAAGGGTTAAAGTTCAACTTACAATTACATAATATTGATAACCAGCTCTTTTTTATTAATAATGTGTTTCGCAATCACTCATAACGATAGTTGTCATATATGGCATACACATGACAGTTGATTATTTGATGCGTGAACGATTGTGAATAGTTTGTAAAATTCTTCTAAAATTTTATGGTGAAAGGTTTGATGCTTATATGTGTAGGAATTTGTTCAAATAATTAAACAAAAATTGGAAAATGAAAATGCGTGTAAAAATGAAAAATGAAAAGGTGTGATTACGTGTCAACTTCGACCAAATATTCGGACTTGATCCGATGGTCAAATTACAAAAGTAAATAGACCAACTTATTCTACTCGTCGAGTAGATTATCGTGATATATTTGGAATCTCGAAATGAGAAATTGCGGACCAAAGTTGGAAGAAATTAAGTATTGCAACTTTTCGAAATGATGCAGGTTTTGGTCAAGTATTGCAACTTTTCGAAAGGATGCATATTTTGGCCCACGCTACTTCATTTGCACCATTTTTGCATCTATAAATATAACCCTATGGACATGATTTTGGGTACACCAATTGCATCGAGCATTCATTCTCCTCTTGTAATTCTCTCATTTCTAATTTCATAGCATTTTCATGCGTTTTCTTGGTAAAGAGGGAATTTTGTTCGAGTTCACTGGTCGAAGTCATTTGGAGTACTCCTATGGTTTGACGTGGTTGTTGTATCTTGGGAG